GGGGGAGGGGGGGGGGGGGGGGGGTGGGAGGACACCTGGCTGGCGCTTGGTGCCGTGTACCTACCTGTAGATGGACTCGACGACCATCCAGACGACCCTCTTGCCCCTGTACCGCGGCAGGTGTTTCTTGATCATCCTCTCGGCGTCCTTGTAGTCGTGATGCTTGAAGTACACCACCTTGCCGCCGCACAACTTCAACCCCGTCCGCAGACTCGCGTGCGCTCGGCTGTCCACAAACAACAGCTGCAGAGACAGAAGAGACGCGCAGAGAGACGACCGTACCGTCCGTGTGTGGCCATCCATCCATCCATCCATCAGTGGTGTGATTGGATGTGTGTGATGTGCGTGTGTGTGGTCACGCACGTCGCCTTTGCGGGCCACTCCGATGATGCAGCTCATGCAGGCGAGAAAACCCGCCGACACAACCAGACAGCCCTCCCTGGGACCACACACACACACACACACACTGATATCACCATCCATCGCCGGCCGCCTCATGTGTCCGTCCGTCATGGGGGCTGTGCTGTCTGTCCTCATGTTTACCTTCCGAAGAATGCCGCGAGTTTCGATTCCAGCTGGCGCAAGATGTGCGTGTTGCCGCCCAGCATACGGGGACCTGCGGGAACAGAGCCGGCCACTCAGTCCAGCCATCCATCCATCCATCCTGCCGGTGTGTATTCACACGAATGGACAGCCAGCGTACCTACCGTGGTTGCCCGTGGCGTATTGCCTGGCGGCCGCGATGGCGGCCTCCTGCACGCGCTCGTCTCGGAGGAAATCCAGATAGCTGCATTGCAGCCACGAAAGTGTGGGTGGGTGCACCGCACACCCATACATGACACACAAAGAGGTGAATCCCTCCCTCAGTGGCTCCATCCTGACTGACCTGTAGGACGACATGATGTGAGCCTTTGTGCCGCTGACCGAGACGGTCTCGTCCTTGACGTCCCTCATCTCCCACATGAAGGGCCACGAGTCGCCGAAGTTGCGCTTCAGATCCAGGTAGCTCTCCACCTCCGTCTCGCCCGGCCGAATCGGCATGTTGAGCGAGTTCTTGACCATCAGCACCGTCATGTGGTTGAGCGAGCGGGCGATCTTCCGGAAACGCCTCACCAACAGCAGCAGTCGGACCTTCTTGGGCGTTGTCCCCACCAGCCGAGAGGCGGATGTGACGATGGCGGCGATCTTGGCGGGGATACTGAGGAGCTGACGGAGGAGGTCCTGTATGGCTGAGGTGGTGTACCCCCTGAGCGTGGCGAGGACGCTCTCGACCTCCTGGTACTTGCCGTGGGGGATGGGCAGCAGCTCACACAGCACCCAATACTGCGGGAACACCTCATCCGACAAAAGGGCGCAGGCCGTGCCTAGGCAGGAAACAAAAACAAAGGCAGAGACAGACAGACAGACAGACGAACGCACCTTTGATGCTTCCACATCCACTCGTCGTGCATGCCAATCCCATCTCTCTTTCTTTCTATGTCCCCTGTGTGTTCTGTGTCTGTTGTTTCGATCACCGAGTAGCGCCACCAGGCCGACGAACACGTCAAACAGCTCGCAGTTGGGCATCAACTCAAGCAGCATCGTCATGATGAATGGTCACCAGGGGGCCCTGAGACCCCGGACAGCGTCCCGGAGGACGAAACAAACGCGATTATGTGACAGCGACAGGCCGCGCTCTGAGTTCGTTCTACATAGCACGGCGAACAGGGGGAAAAGGCTGAACGAATCCTTCCAACTTTTTTGCGAGCTCAAAATCTCTCAGTGCTTGGGCCCTCCTCCTTCCCGCAAAGGAGGCATCTTACAGTCTTACTCCATCGTTGATCGATATCTGGCAGCGCATCTATCAGATCTGGCGTCAGCATGCTCTCGCGTCTTCGCCGGAGGCCGCCAGGCGGAGTGGCAGCCGCGCATTCATCGGAGGCGCCAGCCGTGTCATGGTCAACGCAACGCACCCCTACAAGGCACTTGTGCGGCCCGGCTGTGAGTCGAACTGCACCCGTGGGGCTGAGTTCTGTATATCACGGGAGACTGTTGTGGGTGGGTGGCGGAGGCGGGCGGTGGATCAGCACGACGGCACGCATGACGGAGATGCAACGGGCGGGGCAAGGCGTGGCTGCCGCATCCAGGTGACAGCTTGTCCGGCCGTGAATGGATGGATAGAGATGGAATGGAGCGTCTGTGTGTTGTCATGTCCGTGTGTCTGTCTGTGTGTGTGTGACTGGTGTCAATCAGTGTGAGTCCCATAGCGGGCATTGACGTGACCGGCGTGCCTGACGTGGCAGTGCCCGACCTGGAGGCCGAGCTGCCCATCGACTCACAGGCATACCTCCTGCTCGACAGATGCAGAGAACAGGTCTGCCCTACCAGCCAGACAACCTGTCAGAGACAATGCCGCTCTCTCTCTCTCTGTGCGTGTGTGTGTGTCCGTATTGTGCGTTGGATGGGCCGATCATCAGGCTGAGTTGGCTGGTGTGGACCCCGGTGCGCCCTACGAGCCGCTGCTGGCCTTTGACATGATCCAGAGCTACATCTATCTCATCAAGGAGAGCGTCGGCTGCCCATGGTAGCTAGCCCACAGACAATACGTACGCAGACAATGGTAGGTCCATTCTTGGTGTGTGTCACACAGGTGGATGGCCATCGTCGGCTCGACCGTGCTGCTGCGCCTGCTGCTGCTTCCCATCCATCTCGCTGTGGTCGGACACCACACGGCCGGCACATCCACCTGTCTCTCTCTCTCTCTGTGTGTGTGTGTGTGTGTGTGTGTGTGTGTTGGTATCATGTGTGTGTGTGTGTGTGTGCGTATGGTCCATCCATCCACCAGTTGCGGGACCAGCGTCGAAAGGCCCTGTTCGGTCCGAAGCTGCGTATGCTGGAGAAGGCCGCCCAGGACCCTGACCTGGATGACGACGTACGCAGGCACACCAACAGACAGACAGACAGACAGACGTCTGCGTTCGTTCGTTCGTTGGCTGATGTCTGTCTGTCTGCCTGTCTGTCTGTGTGCACTGATCTGATCGCATCGCATCGCATTGATTGCATTTGTTTGCAGGAGTCAGGACGGAAGCAGAAAGTGCAAAAGAAACTCATGGTGAGTAGTAGACAAACAGGTCGGTCGATGGCTGACTGCGTTGCCTGCCTGCCTGCCTGCCTGCCTGCCCTGCATATAGGATTTCCGTCAGAAGCACAAGCTGTCGATCATCCCCACTCGGTTCCTGTCCTCCCTCGCGGTGCAGTTCCCCCTCTTCTACTGCTTCTACCAAACCATGAGGTACGTAGGTGGGTGGGCTGCTGGGGGGCGGGGCGTGGCGTGGCCCACCGCACAACACAACACAACACCACACACCCTTTTGGAGCCACATGCCGTCCGTCCGTGTGGTGTGTGCATCAGGGGGTTCGCAATGCACCCAGACTCATTTCGGAGCTTTGCAATGGGTGGGCGGGGCGGGGCGTGCACACAACACACAGACAGACAGACTGCCGCGTATTCCTCACTGCACCGCTGCTGCTTGGTTGTGTTGTTGGTCTGTCTGTCTGTCTGTGTGTGTGTGTGTGTCAGAGAATCCGTTTTGGCTGGACAGCCTGTCTCTGTCCGACCCTTATGGGTTCATGCCTCTGCTGCTGGTGGCCACGATGCTCACCAACACGGAGCTCAACAACGCTTCCGAGAAACAGATGGCCAACCAGATGATAGACGACGCCGATCCCACCTCTCAGAAACGTATGTATGGCGTTCGTTCAGTTGCGATCCTCTCTGCATTGTCTGTCTGTCTGTGCGGTGTGATGGGTCTGTCGCGTCGATGGGCTGTCTTGCTGGCTGATTTGGTTCATTCTTTCAGTGACGGATCGCATCAACTGGATGACGTGGATTCTGCGGGGCGGCCAGCTGGTCTTCCTGTGGTTCATGTGGAACAAACCGGCGGTAGGTGTGTGTGTGTGTGTGTGTGGACGCATCGCATGGAGCACTATCTCTCTCGGCCTTTGTGTGTGTCTGTTTGTTGCTGTCTGTGTATGTGTTTGTCATCCATCCCCCCTGTCATCCATCCATCAGGGATTGTTCTTCTACTCGTTGACCAACTCCACCTGCAGTCTCCTCCTCTCCGTCTCGGCACGACATCCCTTCTTCGAAGAACTCTTCAGTGAGCAAGAGACAGACCTACACAGCACACCACAGCACAGCACACCCATTGACTGACACACCCTCCCTCCCCCGGGGCATGGCATGTTGGTTTGTGTCTTGGATCCATTAGACCTGCCCCCCCTGAAGGCCCGCCTGCGTGCCGAGAGAGACCAGATCAAGCAAATGGTCGACCCCTTCAAAGCCCAATACATGGACGAGCTGCTCGAGGCATCCTCGTCGCATAAGGATAGCGGAGCAGCAGACAAGAAGACGCCATCGCTGCCGCTCAACGGCTCAGCCAAGGGCGGCAGCGGCCAGGCCGTCTTGCAGGGGGGCTCAGGCAACATCCGAGCCCTCCCTCTGTCGGTGGCGGCAGCAGCGGCGAGCAAAGGCGGGTTCGTATACGACGGTGGGTGGGGCGAGAGGGAGGGTGAGGGCGTCGGGGGGCTCACCAGCGGCACTGTGACAGCCACCAGACAAAGGGGGACGCCTGTGGTCACCAAGACACACACCGACAACGGCAGTGGCAGTGGCCAGGTCGCCCGGCGGTACTCGTACGTCACCAAAGGCACCACAGGTAGCGGCGGCACCACGAGTGAGGGAGAGGAGAAGGGCTATGCGATGAAGAGAAGAAAGATCAAGGTGTAAAAACAGGTAGGGAGGGAGGGAGCGATGGCAGGGGGATGGTGGCCTGTGGAGGCGTGCATGTGAGAGCGTGCCGCATGGGAGGGAGGGTGTGCACTCGCTGATTTTCCTAGTCAAGTCGCCAGCCAAACAGCATGATTCGATTCATGTGCACACACACAACACACGGCTCTGTCACATCTCAATTTTGGTTTCAACTGGAGGGAGGGAGGGAGCTGCACACATGAATCTTTTATTAAGAGAGAAGGATTTCGGCGCAAGGACCGATTCAATCATCGTCACACATGCACAGTCCTCCCGTCATTGCACGCACCGTGACCATCGTCACCATCGTCAGCTGTCCCCCCCGCCCGCCACACCCGAATCACCCGCATGACCGTCCCCTCCCTCGCGTAAAGACTATCCACACCAAACACCTCATCGTCAAACCCAACAACCTCCCACCGCAGCCCACTCGCAGCAAATGCCCGCCACAGCGCACTGTCCGTCTTGTCGCTGCGTCGCTGATGGGCCAGCCACAGCTCGGTGTCTGGGTGGCCGAACCGATCCATTAGGGCCGCGACCGCACTGGCGAATGGCTGCACGAGAGGCTCCACCCACACCACGTCAGCACCGAGGAGCAAGTCGACACCACCGGACCATTCAGGCTGTGTTGCCAGGATGCGGGCAGCGTCACTCTCCAGTGGGTCACGCCAGTCGAGAGAAGAGACACTAACGTTGACATGGGCTGCTTCTGCTTCTGCTTGCTGGCCCAGCCATCTGTCCATCGTCGCATCTCGGTTGCGTGTGAGTGTCGATAAGCAGTAGGGCAGGTCCGTCAGCAGCACTTGAGAGGCCCCGAGAGCAGCAGCGGCCAACCCAGTAAGACCCAAACCAGCACCGAACTCCAGGACAGTCGCCCCTTTGACACGGGATGCCATCCTCAGCTCTAGGAACTTTGCGAGCACAACCGCGCCGTCCCAGATTGTGCGACCTGCACACATGGAGGCACCGCACATCGCACAGAGAGGCAGAGTTGATTAAGACTGATACTGATGCTCTGCAGGCATGTGTCTGCCAGCCTACCTGTGTCGCCGTGTTCCTGTTGATCCGGCCGCCTCTCGTCTTCCTCGCGCGTCGGACGGATAACCAGCGGCAGGCCGTTCACCGCAAAGGCACCGCTGGCGAAGTCATAGTCGAATGCCCGCCAGGGAAGGGCCAGCTGAGGCTGTCGAGCGGTACTGGCTCCAGCATCATCTGCTTGACTTGCTGAGGGCACTGGCGTCCATCTGCCCGTCGCTGCGTCGACAGCAAAGGCCGTCCCGTCCTTGGCTTTGTAGTGGCGCTTGCTGCAGCGGGTCATGCGCAACACAAGAGATAAAGCCAGGAACAGGGCTGCACGTGCCAGGCGCCTTCTCGGGCGCATTTCCTCTCTCCCCGCCTGCGAGCTGAAGCTGTAGCTAAGCTCGCAGACGGCCCAAACCGTTCCGAGTCCACCAGCCCTCACCAAACACCCCTGCAGGGTCCTGCACCAAGACTATTTGTGTCGCAGATCTGATATTTGGTTGTCGGCGTCTTGATGATCCAACAACGGCCCTCGACCACCCGAACGGCTTCCTTCTCTGAGCTGATCTATCTATCGTGACTGAGAAGTGAGTGATGGCGGCCCGCAACCCTGGCCCTCGTCTGAACCAGGTGCCGGTGGGCTTCCCCTCGTTCCACCGCAAGAACCTCGTGGACAGCTACGCGCGCAAGGCCCTGTTCCAGTCGGAGGTCAACACTCGAGTGTACAAGAACGTGTTTGCCAACCTGGGCTACCAGGGGCCCATCGACATCAACCACATCATCGGCAAGAACCGGGTCCGCATGCGGTGCATCGACGGCGGGAGGGCGCGGGGCGTCTTCCGGTGGACACGGATGTGGCGGATGCAGTTCAGGCAGGCAGAGAGGGAGGGGTGGCTGAGGCCTTACGGACTGTCAAGGAGATTCTGGAGATAGTAATGAATGAATGAACAGAGAGATCAGCGACGTGAAGGTGTCCTGTGCAGCGAGTGGGTCGGGTTCGTGAGCTGACTGACAGTGGTGAACCAGTCAGCCGATCAAGTGGGTGTGCAGACAAGACAGCTGTGTACGTGTTTTGTCCCACTCAATTGGTGGGGGCATGGCATGGCCGGACTGACTGATTAATATAGTTTGAGTACTTGCCTGCCTGCGATGTGTTTAATGACTGAAAGAGGCGATGAGACAAGACACACTGTGGCTCAGCTGTGATTGAAGGAATGTCTTACACGCAACAAGCACCACCACCCCATATGCAGTGCACAAAACCGACCCAAATGAATGCACTCCATGGTGTGCACAAGTCAGTCAAGTCCACAAGGGATACTGAGGTGTGTGCCTGAGGCACACTCCTTCACTCAGCCAGGCAGCCAGCCGCGGCAGAGAACAGGGACGGAGGGAGGGCAGAAGAAGCAAGCACCTAGCTACTCGACGACACACAGCCACACAAGGCCAGCAATGGAGAAACCCACACACTCCATTGACTAACTGATCAGCTCGTATGAGCGAGAAAGTCCGCGAGTTGCGTCTTGGACGGCAAGATGACGTCCGAGAATTTGCCCGCCGAGCAGACAGAGTACAGTTCCTTGCCCCTTGGGTCAGGCTGGCCGTTCTTGGCGTGATTGCCTATATCGAACACCACCCATGTGCCCTCCCCATAGTACCTCTCCCGGCAGTAGGGCCCCAGGCTGCGCGCCCCGCTGTGCACGTCCAGCCTCTTCCAGCAGTTGGTCGGGTCGCAGCAGCCCGGCCCCCACACCCTGTAGCGAGAGTCCTTGGCGCCGTCCATTCCGTAATAGTCCTTCTTGATTTGCCGCCACATGGGGCTGTTGAGTGGCCCGTTGTACACCCGGGCCGTCTTGAGCTCTTGCGGCCGATAGAGCAGGCCGAATGGCCGCCCCCTGCCGTAGTCGAATGAGGCCAGGGGCAGGTTACACGGCGGCTGCTGTGTATGCAGGAAACAGAGCTTCTCCATGTCCCTTATAACAGTCTGGCAGCAGTATCGACCTCCAGGTCGGCGATTGCAGCCCGGTCCGCCGCACGTGCCGCAGCTCTTGGGGCAGCAGGTGTTCCAGGACGGCGCCAGCACGCCGCCGATCTTGGCGCACAACTCACGACATTGCTTTTGGCGAGCGCTGTTGCGGCGGCAGTCGGCAGGCACGCGGTTGCCGGAGCTTGCCTTGATGGTCACTCCGGGGAATCCCGGCTGCCCTATACCAATAAAGCTCTGGTTGTTGTGGTGCTGGCCGTGGTGGTGCTTGTGGCCATGCTGGTGGGCTGTCATGTTGGTGGGGTCGTTGGCAGAGGTGGGCGACGCGTCTTCCAGGAAGGCAGGAGGACGCTCGTCGTCTTCAAATTCGTCTTGGTCTTCGTGTTGTGGGAGGTATAGCGCCGCGCCATTGAGGCCCTCTGCGTCCGGCAACATGTGCTGCTCAGCCTCTCCCATCTAAAGGAAGCTCGACTCGCCCCCGCTGATGACTTTGTGCACCATGGTGCCGATCCTGCCGACGTCATAAGCACCCTTACAGCCCTCTGGCGAGTGACAAAAAGAGAACAGCCAGCCAGCCACCCACCGCAAAATCACAAAGAAGAGGAGACATGGACCTTTTGCTCACTTTTTCATCGGAAGGGCGGGTCGGTCCACCGTCCGTTGACACACTCGAGCAGCCCCGCCATGTGTGTGGGGATGTCGGTCCGCAAGGGCGTGGCCGTGTCGATCATGTCGTTGAACACCGGCGCGTACCCCCGCCGCTCGTTGCATATCACCAGGTGGGAGTCGCCAGGCTGAACACACACACACACACGGACGCGCGCGCACACACACAGAGCAGCTGTGGCCGTGTCTCGCTCTCCATCTGCTCATGGCCCGCCGACCTTTCTCATGAAGAGCGGAAATGTCTCAGGCTTCTCGGGGTTTGACTTGCCGACGAGCTTTTCGGTGGCCTCGTCGGGTTGTGAGAATGACCGGAGGATTCTGTATGCAGACTCGGCGGAGAGCATGTCTCGGCAGAGTCCCGCCACACAGTCGGTGAGGGCCTTGCCGGTCTTCCCGATGCAATGCCCAAGCTCCTTCTGCTCGTTGCGGCCCAGACTCATGTAGAAATCCTCACAAAGCTCACGCATCTTGTGCGTTATGGTCGGGCACATTTCTGAGAGAGAATGGAATAAGGCCATCCATCCGTGTGGCTGCTGAATCCTTCTACCAGAATCCAATTACTTTGGCAGTCGAGTGTCATGGTATCGAATTCGCCGTCTCGGCACTGAAGCACCTCATATTTCTCGCTCGTCGTGTTGAGGTCGAGTGCCAGCACGCCGCCATAAAGCACATCCTGCTGGCTCCAGTAGCCAGCGCGGTGGTTCTTCTTGACGCCGTCCTTGTGCCTGCATGGCACAGCCACAGCTGTGGCACACCCGCCTCGCTGGCTGCCCTGCTGCTGATATGTGTAGGTGCTCCCAGAACAAAAAGACCTACCTCTTGGGGTTGCATTGCACTTTCCGTCTGGTGCCGTGGTCGACGGTCTTGTGTTTGCCGTATGGCGGGTCGAGTTCCGTCTGATAGGGGAACACCTGATACTTTTCTGGCTCGGGATTGGTCCACTCGGGACACTTCCCTGCATGACAAGAGAGAGGAAACAACATACATGTGAGATCTCATGTGGGCCATGCACGTCCGATTTTCGGGTGTGCAGCTGACTGCAGCAGTAGAGGTCTCTGTCGGTCCACTCGCCGTCGTTGCACTCGAGCACGTCGATTGGGCCGTGTGTTCGCAGCTGCTCCTCGTCCCCGACGTCTCCCTCCCACTTATCGGAGGTCTTGTCGCCAGGCGTCTGCTTGATCTCGGCCGAGTGTGACTCTGTCATGCACGCGATCTGGCGGACGGACTGGTGGTACATGACTTCCTTGTCGTTGGTCCCCTCCTCGCCCACCAACTTATACCCGTTCTCGGCCGTCATGTCGAACGTCTCCTCGGGTGTGCGCAGGCACGCCCCTGCACGTTGCCAGCCAGCCACACACACGTGGATTGTGTGTGCCTCCTTCTTTGGCTCATGTATGGCTCACGTTTGCAGTTCAGTGGGAGTGAGACTGCGAGCGAAGGGTCTGGCCGTGTGTACTTTCCGTTGAAGCAGGTGAGGTCGAAGAATGCGGCAGGGTCTTTGTTGTGGTAGTAGTGCTCATCCGTGTTGCACACCTGACGAACCAGCGTGGCGTGGATGACCTGATCGTTGTTTGCACCAGCTCGAACTGCATGAGGACCCATCGACCGACCGAACAACACGACATACGCACGACAGATGAATGCTGTCTAGTCAGCACCGGGCATTCATGTCGCGTACCGACGCTCTCGTACGTCCATTTGATCCTCTTCTCATCCACGGGGATCAGCGAACCAAACTCGGGACAGTTCTCTGCCCAAAACAATCACGAGACACGGCGGACACACACATTTGCTGACCCTCTCTCGGTGTCTCCTCCATCTATCTCACTGTAGCAGATGATTCGGTTGGCGGTCCAGCGTCCGTCGTGGCAGTGGATTGTCGCCGACTCCGCCGTGCCCTGGATGCCCGGCGAGTACCCTTCTGCACACTCGATGTGCCGAATCGCACCGGGGGCCGTCACCCGTCACAACATACGCCTCGGGCGGAGACACAGGCAACGGATTGCCGCAATTGGCTACCAGCCGTAGAACGAGAAACACCGCCTCACGCCATTCGTGCTGTTTGTCGCCTGTTCTGGTTGTTCGTACCTTTGCAGTCGAGTGTGACCTGTGACCAGACGCCGTCTTCGCAGATGAGTTCCTGCACGCCGGGTGTCGACTGGGTACCCAAGCTGCTGCCCTCCGTGACGATGGCGCTGCCGGCTGCAGGGGCATAGCCGTCCTTGCACTCCAGCTTGACAGGGACGTCCGGCGGCGTCGTGGTGCCTGGCTCAAGGCCGTTATGCATCGTGGCCACATAGCGCTCAGACGACACCGGCAGCTCCCCACACTCAGCCTTGCAGATGAGGTTGAGTGCGGTCATCTTGCCGCCTGCGCAGTAGATAATGGTGGGCGATCTGGTCTTCTGGATGGGGAGGGTGGGCACTCCCTTCTTGCTTTTGCCGCACATGACACTCACGCAGCCTCCACTGGGCAGCATGTTGCCGTCAGCCACCACGGGATCCATCAGCGTCTCCACAAGATAGCCGTCGGAGTCCTCTATGTGACTCCGCAATGGCTTCAGATCACACTTCTCTGTGTGGAAGGGTGGGTGGACAAACAAGGAAACAAGGCAGTCAGGCGTTGAGACATGCAAGTACTTGAGGCGTACTTGGGCAGAACAGGGTGGTCGGAGTGAAGGTGCCGTTGGTGCATGTGACCACATCGATCGCCTTCTTGGCCATGGAGGAGGATGCGGCACCACTCTCGGTCTTATTCTGCATGCCCTTCTTCTTCTCTGCTTTTTCTCTTCCTTCCTCCTCCTCCATCTCGGCAGCGATCTCAGCCTCCTGCGGCACACCCTGCACCTTGCCCTCGAACTCCACCCCGTCCACCAGCTTGCACGTGTGCACCGGGGAGGCGTCGGTATCACATGACATTGACATGACGCTCCCGTGGTCGAATGACTCGGGCATCAACGCGTCCCAGAAGTCGCCTGGAGGCGCCAGAGCCTCAGAGGCAGACAGGTTGCCCTGAGCTGCCCACGCGTTGGCCGGCATGATCTCGAGAAAATCTGTCTTGGAGCACTCCTCTACACAGTACAAATGACACAGAGACAGACAGCTGTCTCACATCCATCAGTCGCTTACTTGCGCACAGGAGTGTGATTGCCGACCACTCTCCATCGACGCACTTGATCTGGCCGAACTCCTCCCCCGCGCCCTCCCCCTCCAGCCCGGCCACAGCGTGCCAGTTCTCACCTGGCGTGTCGGAGGTGCGGCACTTGAGGCTCACCTGCGTGCCGTGCGATGGCTGTGGCTGTTTGGGGTCACTGCCCTTGACGTGCCGCATGTCCTTCTCGGGCTCCTTCAGCTCGTATTGGAAAGGGATGTAGGCCGTGCCGGGCTCCCCAGGGTCCGTCTCGCTCGCCGCAAGATGCAGGAACGGGCATTCCTCTGGACAATAAGACAGACAGACAGACAGAAGGACGGACAGACAGACAGACAGACGGCCCAAGAAGCAAGCGGGAGTAAGGTCGGTGTATGTATGTTCTTGGCGTATCTCATTACTCACTTCTGCAGACAAGTGGCAGGAAAGTCCATTGGCCGTCGATGCACGTGATCTGGGCTTCCGGGTCCATTCCCTTGTACGGCCGGTAGCCGGCCGACTGCCAGCACTGCACATTGCGGATGGTGCCGTCAGGGATCAAGGGGCCAGAATCGTGCGACGCGAGTTCGTAGTTGGAGCGGAAGCCGCCCGCCTCTGTGACGACGTGGGGCGGCGGCGGTGTTTCCTCATACCCTTCTGCCTGAATGAGGCAGGGCGGCGCTTTCGTGTCCACGCCACATATCTTGGCAGCTTTGGTGACACTCCCCACACAGCAGTTGGCGTTTCCGCCCGGTCGGCGAGAGCAGCCCGATCCGCCGCACTTGCCGCACCTCTCCGGGCAGCAGGCGTTGGGCCAGTTGGCGAAGGGAGACAGGATGCCGCCGATCTCCCGGCACGCCTCCTCGCAGTCCTGCTGACGATGGCCGCTGCGCTGACAGTCGGCCGGGAGAATCTCCTCGTGACCCTCGGGTTTCGTTGTCGTCCTGGGCTCCTCGTCACTCTTTCCTCCGGCGGGGGAGGGGGCCTCGTCGGCGCCCTCTTTTTCGTTTGCCTGTAGCTCGGCCAGCCTCTCTCCCAGCTTTTCTTCCTCCGCGTCTCCTGCAGCCGGATCGGCTTGCAGGAAGGACATCGGGGGAGGGCTGGCTGCCGTTTGGTTAGCCACCTCGTGTACCCCTGCATACGCGGTCAAGTTAGCCAGGGCGCGGCGCACCCGTCGTTGTTTCACTTACGTGTGCAGACGGAGGGCTGGTCGACGCCGTGAGGGTTTGTGCAGACCCAACCCGGCTCTACTTTGCACTCGACTGAGCAGCCATCGCCCGTGCTGTTGTTGTAGTCGTCACACTCCTCAAAAGCAACGGGTGCAAGATAGCCGTCACCGCACGGACCTGCACACATCAATCATCACGACCGTCAACCGCAGACCGATGTTGGTCGTCCTAGTCACTGACCGTATACTTCCACTTCGCATACATCGAGACGGCCGTCGTTCATCTCATTGCCCGTCTGCCCCTTGCCGCCCACCAGGAATACATACTGGCCCTGCAGCGCGCACTGCACGTCATACCATCGCGGCGCATCGCTGCTGTTAGACATCGGATTGGGAAGCGACCCACACAGCTGGTTCTCCCGCCATGTTGGAGAGAAGCCCACGCGCACCTGGACGCCCCAAAGTCTGCACAAACACAACAAGTGATTGCCAAAGAAAGATGAAAAGTCTCTTTCCATCTTCCCATTGACCTGTCGTTCCACTTGTCTGTGGGGTTCCTTGTGAAGACGCGGACGACAGCGACGGTGCGGTTGTCCCCCAGATCGACTGCCCACCAAGGCTCGGGTGACGGGTGTATGTCCGACGTGTGTACACACTCTCCACCCTCGTCGATGGCGGTGTAGTCGCCATCGACGGCGTGGTGGGCTGACCACCGCTGGCCCGTGTCGGTCTCTGGGTCCTGAAACGCAGTCTTTCCACTTACATAGTCTGCGACACGACAAAGGGACAAGCAGACAAGCAGCACGGTGCTTGCTAATGCTTCGTTGTATATCACCGACACCACTTACTTTGCCGGCCGGCTACCAATGGAGGTCGCAAATAGAACAAAGATGGGCGCAATGGCACACGACAAGCTGTTTTTCTCTTTGCTTACCTCCATAGGCTTCGACCTCACAAAGAATGAGACCCTTTCGTGATGTTTCATTCAAGCCGCTGGCAATCCACACATAGCGCCCCGAGGCTGCCGCCTCGCACGTGACATTGACCACAGCCTGTTGTCCTCCGACCAGGTCGTCCTCGGGCACCGTGCCGCAGAGAGTGTTGTTGCTGTAGTGCACTGACGACATGCCCACGTACACTCTCGCACCAGACAGACTGACCATAGGCAGACAGTCAGACAGACAGACAGACATCACCGTGTTGGTGCCCACAAGCAAGCAAACGAACTATTGGCTTTCTGTTAAAACAGTACTCGCGGCGTTTATCTGCGTATACGACGACGTCGTTGATCTCATAACTCTCGCCGAGGTCGACAAACCACCTGAATAGATTACACGCACAAACCCGCAATACAACGATTGCTTCACACACATGTGCAAGACACCAGCGGGATTGATTGCATGGGGCTTACCATGGACTGGCCTCAGTGCCATTCGGATCCGTCTCGGCGCTACAAACACACACAGGATCCCATCCAAGCAGGCGGGCAGGCAGGCAGGCAGCCATGGCAAACAGGCTGGGGAGCACTGACCAAGATTCTCCTCTGAAGTCCATCCTTCGATCGCCGTCCACAGCCCGACCGGCTGTGTGATTCACGAGTGTGCTGCTTTGATTAGCAGGCCTCCCTCTGGCAACATTCTTCCCTGCACACAAGAGACAAAAACAGACACTCATAAGCAGAAACACACACGCCCGTCCACGTGATCGACACATACTTACATCGTTGGTGTCGCGTGAGGTCCATCAGCTGCCTGCGCGTGTCGCCCATCTCCAGGAAGCTGGCATGGGCAACGACGGGCTCATCCAGCCATATAATGCGCAGACTCCGCCGTCGTGGCGGGAATGCCGGAAAGGCATTCACACTAGTGCCAATGGAGCACTCTTCGGCCTCGTGTGCGTCGTCGGTGCTGGGGTGCGGCGCTCCTTGTGCTGTCGACGGTGACGGCGCTACACACTGCTGCTGCTGCTGCTGCTGTTGTTCTACGAAGCTTGGCTCGAAGATGGCGTGTCTGGCCTTTTGCGCTTCTGCGAGGAAGCCTATCGGTGGCGTCTCGCGCTCCTCCCATGGCGGCTGGCGGTAATAGTAGGGCATGTGGCCGGGGGGCGCTTTGAAGATGTAGCCTTGACGGTAGGGAAACTCAGCATCACAGTCCCCTGAATGGATGGACAGTCAGAAAGAAAACAAGCAAGACAGAAAGAACTGTGGTCCGCGATCGACGTGGCAGGCTCATCTCATTCAAGTTACTTACTACCGCATCTTAGTGTCTTTGGCACGTATCCTCCGTCGATGCATTTGATGACCTCCCATCCCTCCTTCGGACCCTCCACCCGATCGAAGGTTGCAGCACAGGAGATGTGGAACCGACCGTTGTGGCGGTACACCGGGGACTTGCCTGTGGGCGCTTCCATGGGAACCACATTGTAGCGGAAGCCGTACTCAGGGGGCACTTTGCAGTTCTCTGCAACATGCAGGGAAGGTTTGGTTTAAAAATGAGATTGCAGTGATGCGTCCGTCCGCCCCACTGTCTTGTCTTCTGACCCATGCAGACGAGGAGGAAGGGCGTCCACTTGCCGTCGTTGCATGTGAAGGTGGATGGGTCCTCTCCCGTCGCCACAAAGTACCTCTCGGTGCACGTCACTTCGTAGGTCGCGCCGTGCCCCCGCATCCTCAGCGCCTCAGTCTTGCCCATCCCCGGATGCAGTAGCGTCGTGTTGTAACGCACCACATCCAGCAGTGGAACCTCCGGACATTGATCTGAAAGGAGAAAGCCGTGCCATTGATTGATATGCCCGTCCGAAAAGGTTGCGGTTCGTTTATTTACTTTTGCAGACGATGTTCTTGGCCGTCCAGAAGCCGTTGAGACATACCACCTCGTCCTCTTCCAGCTCTGTCATGGATGACGCCACCTCGGAGTCGCACCGGAGGACCCTCCTCGCCCCGTGGAAAGTGGCCCCGGCGTGGGGAAAGGAGTCGACTTTATATTGTGAAGGCAGCTCGGGGTAGTCGGGGCACGACTTGGCACACTCAAGCGTCCTGTCAGTCCAGTTGCCGAAGAGACACTCGAGGCGGTTCTTGTTGATAGAAGGGTAGCCAGTGTCGTTGAGCAACCGGGCAGAATAGCCCTCCTGGCACGTCAGGCGCACCACGGCGTTGTGGTAGACCCTTGCCGGAATGACGCCTGTACCGATCTCCTCAGGGCTGTACAGTCTGGCGTTCTCCTTCCTTTCTCTTCAGCGGAAGGACCACATCATCTGATAGTTGGGCAGACGGCCCAGCGTGGTCAGGGGGGTCGTGTCGCAGGGAGCTGCACATTCCATGCTCAGTTTGGAGAACGCCATCATGGGATCCGGGTTGCCCAGACAGATGACCCTCAGGGGCTCGCGGCTTTCTATCGCCTCATTACTCGACGTTGGCGTCAGGTCAGACGGAGAGTAGCCCTTCTCAGCGTCGCATCTGCAGTGAGGAGAGAAAACCGGCACTGATGAGGAGAGAGATGGATGTGGTATGCCTTACTTGACAGCGATCTCGGTGTTCGGGATGAAGAAGGCCGGAGTAGTATTGGCACTCAGGACCTTTATGTCGTACTTGGCCAGGTCGATATCGTTGTGGCCGAGGGCGCTGTCGTTGGCGACGGGAGACATGATATTGGCAGGATGGCCCCAGAACGCCCCGACAGCGTGCGACGCGTTGTGTGATGCGTTGACCGGCTTTGGAATCAGCTGCGCCAGGCGATAGCCGCTGACGAGAAGAGACAAGAGGTAATCCTTCGGGCAACTCTCTGCACAACCAGAGACACGACACACACGAGGGTGTGCTGGTGCACGGATGTGAGGTGAGATGGGTGGGGCTTGCTTACTCCTGCACTGAATGGTTCGTGCGGTGTAGGCGCCGTCGATACATGTGAGATTCTCGACTGGCGACCCGCTGATGCTCGAGAAGCCCTCTTTCTCGTCGCACACGATCTGCCGCTGCGTGTTGTGCCGCACATCCTGCCCGATCAAATTGTAACCCGTCGGAGGCAGCGCAGGCAACTCGCTGCAGTCAGCTGTGAGCCATACACACGACAGAGACATCAGACACATTGAATGATCACACGCGGACACCTTTATGTATGTACCTCTGCATTCGAGCTCAATGGGGTCGTAAGTGCCGTTGTGGCAGAGGACGTTCTGGAACTCCATCCCTGGTGTGGCCGAGCTGTAGCCGTTGCTGCAGGATATCTGCGTGACGTCGCCGTGCCGCTGACCGCCAAAGTTGATGGCATAGCGGGGCGGCAGGTCGTTGTATCCGCTATGGGCCTTGGAATTCCGCAGAGGGAACTCCTTATACGGCGCACAATTGTCTGCACGGCAGGCACAGGCACACAGCATGCTCATGGCATGCATACATGCCATGCAGCGCACACACACTGATCGCTGGTTCCTTACAGACGCATTCGAGGTCCATGTTGGTCCACTCTCCGCCCAGGCAGAAGATCCGTGTGGGGTCGTCGGTGCAGTTGAGTCCCTGCTTCCTGCACGAGGCGGCCGCCTCGTCAGGCAGACACCCAACATCGATCCAGTCGCCGTGGAAGGTCACAGAGGCCAGCTGGTGCTTGGGGGGCACCGTGCTGAAGTCGCTCCGTGACGTCTTGACGATCCGGTAGGGAGGGGCGGGCTGCGGATACCGTGCGCAGCGCACTGACAGACACGGACCAGGAGACGTACATACATGGACTGTCCCACAAGGTCGCTTTCCTTCCTGTGGGTCGGATTACTTTCGCAGCTGAATTCTCTGGGTTGCCATCTGCCATGGAGGCAGTAGATGATCGCGAACGATTTTTCGCCCGACGGAATGGCCGGTGGGATGCAGGTGATGTTTCTAAAGGAGCCGTGCCGCAGCGGCCCGACGGCCCGGGCAGGCTCCACCCTGTACATGAGCTGACCGAGGTCGGGGTACTCGGGACAGTCCTCTAATGGGCAGAACACACAACACACGAGGAATGAATGGACAGATGATCACCCTCTCGTGTGTCTCGGTGTCACTGACTGTAGCAGTGAAGCCCTGGTCGTGTCCATTTGCCGTTGATGCACTTGACGACACGAGGCTCCTCCGGCACGCCCTCGGCCGGGGTGGTCTGCTGCTTGCACACCACCTTCAGAGTTGTGCCGTGCTTCTTGGTCTGGGAGGGACCCGCCACCAAGTACTGCTGGTTGCTCGGATCGGCGTCCATGAAGAGCGTCTCGCAGTCCTCTATTCAAGGGAGGAAAAAGCAGCGGAAGCAGCGCAGATGGAGCCCAGCCATGCTATATGTGCTTTATTTACTTTGGCAAGTGAGTTGTGGGTGCGCCCAATTGCCGCCCTCCTCGCACGTGATGATCTCTTTGTGCAGGAAGCGGAAGGCCGAGGTGAACCCCTGCTGGCACTCGATGTAGCGGTAGTCGCCCACCTCGCGCCCCATGGAGCCCTCGCCCACCACCAGCTTGAGGCGATTCTCCTGAAATCTGTGGTAGCCCTCGTACTTGGGCCACGCCGGACACATCTCTGCACGCGTCGAAGCAGGCACGATAAAGTGAGGGTGAGACAGCCGCGTGTGGGTGTGACGTACTTTGGCAGTTGCATGAGCAGTCGTCTTCGCCGTCACATTCCTCCATGCCGGTCTTGACGCCATCGCCACACACATCCTTGCGCACTGTGGCGGTCAGCAACAAGCATACCATCCATCCAAGCATCCATCCATCCATCCAACCATCCTCAATTGCTGTCATCCATTTCTGCCTACCGAGGATGTTCTGTTCGATCTCATCTACAGCCTGAAAGAGCGAGGTCTCGTCGAAGCCCCTGAAGCGCACAGCCAGCAGCTGGATGTCGCCATTGTAGCACTGCCGCTGTCGGACGTCGCAGCCGACGTGCAGCCGCCCGGCCTCGGTGAAGTCCGCGTCGGTCTCCCTCAGGTTGATGAGCGTCCCCACGCCATTCAGGGGATCCTTCTCGCGATAAAGGGTCAGCTGGACAGAACGAGACACACACGAGTATTGCCGTGAGATGAGCAGGCGTCAGTGGCTTCATACGTAGGGAAGTGTACCTGGATGGTCCCCGGGGAGTGTGGTCTTACTGAGACGACGTAGAGGGCGGGGCGGCCCCAGCACGCCTCCACCTGCACGTGCTTCTGCTGGGGGCCGGCTGTCTTGCCGATCAGCACACCAAACAGCATGTGTCCGATGCGCTTCTTCGGATCGGGAGCCACATACACCTTAAAGCCTGGACAAGACGTCAGACACATGCCACCCATGCCACCGCCAGCCCAGTCTGCAGTGGAGTGATGTGCATGCCATGCCTGTCTCGCTGTCGAGCAGGATGCTCTGTCGGGTTGTGGTCTCCCGTGATAGGTCGATGTACATGAAGACAGTGAAGCCGGGCTCCAAGATCTCCAGATTCATACCGACGTGAAACGTGGACAAATTGCTGACAAGGAACGGACCATCACGGCCGCCATTGCCACCAGAAAAACGCACGCCGAAGCTGACAGATAAAAGGGAAAAGGGAGCAGACAGCAGAGGTGCCAAGGACTGAGTCGTGTTCAGCTTACCCTTCTGAGAAGATGGGGGCCTCCTGCCCTTCCTCTGGGATCATCGTCGCGGCCAGCCTCTTGGGGTTGCCTGCATCCTTCCACCTGAACACCTGCCCCGACGTGGGGTTGACCTTGACATACTCCCGGGCGGCAATCATCGTTAGCCCCTGGAGCGTCAGCACTTTGAACGTCTCGTCGATGCCCTCAACGTCGATCGGCAGCACAGGATCGGCTTGCCTCTCGTGGTGGGTCTGCGCAGAGCGGCCTCTACGCCCCTGTGTGTTGGTGTGGTGTTGGTGTAGGAAGGAGCTCTGGGCGGCTGGCCGCGTCTCGTTGAGTGCGATAAAGGACGGATAGAACGGTCGGAAGTGCGGTGGTGGATGCGATGATGCATGCGATGTTGTCGGCCTTGTTTCGATAAAGGACAGATCGTTACGGTCTCTTCTTTCTGAAGGCATCCGTACCGACAGCCGGTGGTTGACGCTGAGTGCGCCAAAGGGACACACAACCGCGACGAGACCCGCAGCCACTGCAGTGAGCATCACCATGCGCTGCACACAACACATACGCACATTCTTGATGGCAGTAGCTAGTACATGAGCAGAGCGCCATACCATGTACGGCAGCCCTCGCGCCGCGAGAAGCCGCCTTCTTCTCTTGATCTTCGGAGGCGGCATCTGCTCATTCCCGCAGTGCGTTGGGGGGGCTGAGGGCTCACCGCATTCAGCTGACGTGGGCTGTGTTCTGACCATCGAAGGGCCAGAACTGGCCGGAGGAGGATCATTGCAGTGTGTTTCCATCGTAGCGGTTGCAGCCTTGCAATGGCTGCAGCCAGGATAGAACGAGGAGGGAACAAACCCGAACAAACGCCTCTACCGGCTCATCTCTGCGTCCTGGGGGGGAGGGAAGGGAGAGTTCAGAGGATGCAAGCTCGGGGTCGTGTAATTTTTTGAGCTCGCGCTGCCTTCAAACCGCTCACTCTGCCGAGAGTAGCGACGCGCCTCCAGATGAAGAGATAATGGCATTCTCTCGAAGTGGTACCTCCGAGCTGAAGAAGGTGCCTCCGCCTCCTTCCAAGTACGATGCGGTGCCTGCCAAGGTCGACTCTCACAATCCCAAAGCCAAGGTGCCTGTCGTCCCCAATGCCGTCCTCGCCAAGCGGCGAAACGAGCTCTTCTCGCGCATCCAGCCGTCCGCTGTCCATCGGCTGATCAGCTCACAGGACCAGCGAGCCACCCCCGAGAGCATCTATGCGCAGGTCCAAGGCGTCGCTCGCGCCTCATCGACCGCCACGGCAGCCACGGAGGCCACCACGGTCACATCAACAGTAGACCGGACCGACAGCGGCATGCAGGCGCGGCACGAGTCGACTCTCATCCTGGATATGCGCGGCTCAGAGGAGCACGCTAAGGGGCATATCATCGGCGCCGTGTCGTTCCCGAGCACGCGCATCTCTCAGGACAAGTTCACGGCGGATTTGATTCGCTTCAAAGGGGCGCCTGAGGGCAAGAGGATCATATGCTACCATTCTGACGACAAGAGCTCGGCGCCGCACGCCACTCTGCTGGTGGAGAAGGGATGGAGCAACGTCAGCATCATCTCGGGCGGCATAGAAGAAGTGGCGCGGCTGTTTCCGTCGTGCATCGAGGGGATCGTCGACGTGCCGTCGAGACCTCCCACCGCAGCGTCGACCGTCAGTGGAGCAACGAGGGCCTCCAAGGCCACCAAGCTGAGATGAGATGGGTGGGTGGACGGGCGATGGGAGACAAACTGGCTAGCTGCGGCTCGGGTTGTCGAGTGAGTGAGTAGGTGTGCGGTGCGTGGGCGTGTCGACGTCGGACGCCTCTGTGTGTTGACCGCCTGTGTGGATTGATTGCGTTCCAGCTGACTGACTGCGGCATCAATCGATGGGTGCCATACATACTACCAAACACATCACGTGTGTTTGTACATACATACGCAGCAAGAATGAATGCTAGGCTTTACCTGACTGACCATTTTCAGTCTGTCGGATGGATGGATGAATGGATGAGTGACTGGCTGGTTGTCGTCACTCACTCAGACAGACAGACAGACAGACAGGGGAGACGGCGAGGACAGGCGAGACGTTTTCGAGCGACGCGTGTCATCGGCTGGCTGATGGCTGAATGTGTTCACCAATCACGAACTGCATCGGCTCATCAAGGAACCGCTGGCACGCGGCACTTGTAGACGTGTGTGTGCGTGCGTATACAGACCGACTTCCATGAGTGGCTAAACGCGTACACGACACGTGACAAATGTATGTATCAGAGGATAGAATTGTTGTCGACAGTCGGCACAAACACGGCCACCAGGCCATCTGCCTCACTCCCCCCACTCTGCAACTGAACATTCGATAGCCGCCGGCCGATGAAAGACTCCACAAACACCTCACCTGTCATCTCTGCTCCCGCCACGTTGCTCTGGGTATACACAAACGTGGCATTGTACGGGATGCTCTCAGAGAGGAAATCTAGGGGGATCTCGGACAGGGCGGCCTCCTGGTCAGCCTGGCTTGTAACACCGACAATGGCCGCAAGGAACCATGTGTTGTCTTTTGTCCGTCTGGTCATGATAGTCAGGTATCCGACTTTGCTGGCGGGCAGTACCACCGTCTCCTCCCACGTGGTGGGGATGGACTGCAGCAGAGAGAGGTGGCTGAATGAGTTGAGGAGCACGAATGGGTCCTCGGGGATGATCCACATGTAAGCGTCGAAGCAGATAGCAGACGCCAGCTGGAACACCTGCACCCATCAATTTATCCATCCATCCAGACAGACAGACAGACAGACAGAGACACATGCAATGGAGAGGAGAGAGAGAGAGAGAGAGAGACATGGCCCCTGCAGACGTACTGTGGTGGTGTTTCCCTTGTAGAGCGTGTTTTGGATGAAGGGGGTGAATTGAGTCGAGCCGAGCACCATCCGAGTGTAGGGCAGCGCCAAATAGTGTGGGGGCAGCAGATCGGGAAACCCAGACCTCTTGTTGAACTCCAAGCTCCTCACTGCCTGCAAACACGACCTGCCATATCTGCTGTGTCTCCCTTGTTCCTTCCTCCCTGCCTGCCTGCCTCTGACCTCTCGTGTGATCTCATTTGGGTACGTACGCTCCGCCCCGGTGGCGAAGGGCAGGTTCTGCTGAGTGACCACAAGCGACCTCAGCGCACACTCATACATCATCCTCTCAGACAACAGCACCGAGGCATAGCTAGCACTGCAGTCAGAGACACGCGTGTGAGGTCTCCACCTGATCGTTGTGTCTCCCCATCTGACCTTTTCAGCCCGCTGAATCTGACCCCCGCCACACCAGTGGAGGCGACCTGGTCCAACCACTGGCGCAGCAGCAGATAATCGCTGCTGGTGTCGTCCACTTCGTCCGTCCGCTTCTGCACAATCACCTTGACACCGCGACTGTCCGCAAACGCCACGAGCGTCGTCAGCTCGGTGTAAGGGTCCGCCCACTGGTCCCACCCACGGATGGTGGTGTACTCGAAGCCCAGCTGTGAGGCCAGGTCGATGTAGTCGCCCTCCTCGGTGGTGTTGCCCTTGCCGAACAGGTAGTCGCGCCACACCGACCGGCCCGGCTGGATGTAGGCGGGATAAGACGGTGGGGTCGTAGAGGTGTCGAACACAAAGAGGCCTGGGTTCCGCTGCTCGGGGGATGGGTTGAGGCTGCTGATCATGTCCGTGTTGACGAGCTGGTCCAGGCTCTTAGCCAACACGACTGTCCGCCATGGGGTGCGAAATCCGCCGTCTTTCGTCGTGTTGACGGCGAAGGATGTGTCAGCCAAGTCAGCCTGGAAGCCCTGGGGGTCGGCGAGGGCTTTCAGCCGCAGCCCGCTGAAGTCGTAGAGAGCGCTCTCAGTGAGGAAGATGAAGGGAAAGGGTCTTGTGTAGGTGGTGTCTTCTATCAGAATGATAGCGCCGTATGTGTTGTTGTAATATCTTGGAGTACGAGTGGGCAGCGTCGACGCCGGGGCGGTCTTCCAAATCCCGCCATAGTCATACAGCTCCCAGACGGGTTCCACGTCCCGCTCCGTGAACCATGCGTAGTCGTCGGCAGTGAATGCAAAGTTGAAGTGAGAGCCGTCGGCTGTCACGTTCCGGGTCGGGAAGCCCCCAGAGGCAGGAACCCAATAGCGGAAAGCGAACCCGTCATAGAAGAGGCGGAAGACGACATTGAACTCTATCGCCGACGCGTTGTGTCTGAGTGTGAAGACGGTCTCCCTGTGGTGGTCCGCTCCCACGCTGTGCTTGCCTCTCGTGCGATAGGTCTCATGCACCTCCGGGCCCTCCACGGGGCTGCCGACAATCTCCACCCCCTCGCCCAGCGTCCAGCCATCGACCGTGAGCGACAGGGAAGACTCCACCAGCACACTCGTGGCGCCGCCACTGGTCTCAACGGAGTACTTGAGTGAGTTGGATTCATTAATGAAGACTGACACTTGGTAGGGGGCGGACGCTGGTGGCGAGAGGACGGTGCGAAAGACATCGGCGGCGATGCATTGCTGGATGTGGTACGCAAGGCAGATGAGGGAGAGCAGTATGAGAAGAGCATGCAGCCCCATTGGATGTGCGGATTAGAGATCACAACGTTCCATACGTGGGAGACTGCAAGCTCGATGGGGGGTTCTGGGGGTTGCATGCATGCACTTTCTCCTTGATGCTCCTGGAGCGCCTCTGCTATATCCTCAGCGTGACAGGGAGGCGCATGCTCCCAAGCCCCCAGACGCAGCCAGCAGTCGGCGGGGAAGCCTTGAAGCAGCCCCAGTGAAGGTGCAATGGTGATGAGAGGGCTTTGTCTCATCCTTTGTCTCTGTCTTCGTGTGAATGCGCGACGCACGCGGGCAGGTACGCAGCCTCTGCATCTGCTGCAGATGCCAGCATTGAGCTGCACATGCAGTCAGCCAACAACACAAGTATCCAGAAGGCGGCTGTGGGTGGGGACGCTCCTCCGGTGACCTATGGGCTCAGTCTGGGTGACTTGCTGGCGCAGGGAGGGCTGAACGACGTCATAACCACAGACAAGGTGCACACATACACACATACGTCAGGTCTGTCTGTGTCTCCTTCTCCGTATGTCTGTGTGTGTGTGTGTGCGTGTCTCTCCCTTTCCCTCGTTGGGTTGCAGGGCAGCATGAAGGCCGGCTGGGTGATCATTTATCTCCTCAGTCAGCTTGGCAAGGCCATCAAGTCTCAGCAGCCCGTGTTGGACATATGTAACATCACAGGTAGGTGAGCCAGAACCCTTCATTTGATGCGGCTGTGTCTGTCTCACGTGCACGTCTGGCCCGCAGAAAGCACCATTCTGTTCAACTTGCCCCCGCCGACGGGCGACCAGCATCCAACGTGGAACAAAAACGACGTAAGCAGATGGATCACACGTGTCTCCACGTGTGTATAATGTTAGAATGCACCAATCCTCTGTCTGCAGCTGCTGCCACGGTCGCTGGACATCGACACACTGACAGTGCGGCTGCACCCCCAGAACTCATTCCACGAGAGACCCGACACTTACCCGGCTGATGAGCCAAGACGCTTCCCCTGCTGGGACATCATCAGGCAGCGAGACCCCACACTCTCGACCATAGAAGACGCGCCTGCACTTGCCATGTAACTAACCAAAGCCACACCCACACACAGACACAGATGACCAACGTGATTCGAGTCTCTGATGATTGTCTACAGGCTGATGTACAGGATAGCCAGTCGATGGGAGACTACGGAGATCGACCCACCCGGCGAGCTCCGGGATCTGGCTAACATGTTCAGGCCGTCCACCGTGCTGCAGTGCCACCCATACATGGGAGTGCTGCGGGAGCAGAACGTCACATGTTTCCGGTACGTCATGATGAATCTCCACGACCCGAGATACCTATTCCACAAGACGTGCTCGCCGGAGGCGCAGATCGAGGTGTTCGACGTGGCGGCAGATATCGCACTGAATGCCACTGACAAATGTCTACCCGCCAATGAGACACACACACATACACACACACACATGAGTGGGGTGCTGTGTTGTGTTGTGTTGTTGTGTTGTGTGTGCATCTTGTGCAGTGGAGAGCAGCAAGCAGGTGGAGTGGGTGCTGAGCTACAAGGAGATGATGACGCCGCTCAGGGCCATATGTGCAGCGCCACACGTGTACTGCCTCGCCGAACCTTATGGTACCCTGCCGAACACAGACACAGACACAGACACAGACACACACACACAGAGAGAGAGAGAGAGACCCCTCTCGTGAGTGCCTTTGCCTGTCCACCCATCCACAGGCGGTGACCTGCATGGGCTGTCGTCGCTGTGGAATGAGACAGGCCTCAAGACAAGCATCGACTCAGCCATCCAGATGCAATACGAGGCCTTCCATGTCCGCGACAAGGACGGCACCCCCCATCGGCTGCAGATAATGCACGGAGTTAATGAGTTTGCCGTCGCAGTGCTGCTCGGCAGCGGTGCTGCCGCGACAGGCGATGTGACAGTGGTAGAGGGCGGCTCGGGGAGACGCATCACGCTAGACGGTGAGTAGGGACGGAGGAGCCTCCCATCCCCTGCACAAATCCACGTGTCTGTGCCTCTGTCTCCGCCCGTCAGGCAGGGCGGCCCCTCTGCAGGTTGTCATCAAGGGTCCGTTAAGACGCAGTCTAGAGCCATCCCGCTATGGCCCAGCTCTGCTGCCGGATGACCGACAGCAGCAGGTTGTCAATGAAGAGCTGTTTTTGAACGAGACACAAGGTGAGCAAGTGCAGGCACCGACAACCCATGTGTGGGTCGATCTCCATCCATCCATGTGTGTGTATGCAGCGTATGAGGCGTTGTGGAGCAGCCGGAAGATAGGTGGCCTGGCTGACGATAAGGGAAATCTCCGCGAGACTTGGCCGAGGGTGCCTCGCTTCTACAAAATGACGGGCGACAGAAGGACTCCTGTCCTCGACGGTCAGGCGAACAAACGCCCATATTCCAAAGGCACCATCTCCGTGCGCTTGCAGATTTCCTTGTAATTCCCGTCTTTGACGGCACGAGCATCTATGACATTCAGCGGCACACGGACCTAAATGAGAGGATGCAGCAGCCACCGCGGGAAGGACAGGCAGAGGGAGTGTCCCTTACCGTGGGCGTCTACCTGTTGCTGCTGCTGACTCAGGTGGCCATAACACTGAAAGCCGATCCCGCAAACACGTGGCACCACTGCCAACTGTAAGCTAGCTTTGTAAGCTTTGTAAGTGCACTGTCCGGAGGGTTGGGACAAACGTCCTTGTGCGTGTGGTTGGCTTGGCTGCTGCAGGCATCCAGACAATGTGCTGCTGCCGCGGCTGTCGGCACAAGAGCTTGAAGAGAGACAACGGTCGAACCAGCCCACCTTTTACGCCAAGACCAGAAAGCACGATAACATCCCACAGGTGAGGGAAGAGACAGAGACACAGAGAGCGAGAGAGAAAGGGGCACCCACCCAACCAGTGTGTCTCGATCCCCTTGTACTGTAGGCGTTTTCTGGCTCTCTGTCCGTCAAAGAGACCATGCGGCTCGGTCTGTCCACCATATTCAAAGACGACCCCACCGAGAGCTACACCGCCTTCCCCTGCATCGAGCACCGGGGCGTCCATCCCAATGTGTTCATAGGCGACGACGCCGCGCACGTGTGCGCTTCCATTCTCAAGATGACGGACACCATGTGGCACCAACACCCTGCAAACATCGACGCCGCGCGGCAGCTGTGTGTGGACAGGGAGAAGTCGTGTCTCGCTGTGGCGGTTGACGTCTTCAATGGGACGCGGCCAGACGTGTTGCCGGCTGAGCAGGTGCAGACGGCTATCGAGGCGTATGGGAAGAAACATGCACAGCGGCAGGAGGGGCCTCTGCCCTGTTCCCGCGCTGGACAGCTGGCGCTGCTGCAGAGCATAAGGGACGCATTGTCCCTCATGCTCTGACCGAGCACATGAATTGACGTCAGATGTCTTGATTTGATTCCATCGTGTGTGCGCGCCTCTGTGTCTTGTGTCAACCTGTGTGTGGGGATGGATGAGCACGGCAGTGGCAGCAGTGTGAAGTGAACGCATCGCAGTCAAATGGAAGGACGGACCGAGGAGAGAGACGGAGACAGGGATGGTTGTGACTGCCCTGACGATTGTGTGTGCAGTGCAGGTGTGGCACCTGGTGACATGTCGGTTAGAGATTCTTACAGGGAGTGATAAGTAGACACTAGGACTTACCTCGGACTACGACTTAGGCCGATGGATGGATGGATGCCCGGGGTATGAGCGTGGGGTATGTGTGTGGCAGACGGATGGACAGATTTGCGTGTGTCCTGTCCTGCAGTCAGTCAGTGTCGCATCAGCCCATTGCATTGGCATCGCATAGCATCCAGGGTCCATCCGTCCGTCAATCCGTCCATATCAATCAAGGGTAGGTCTAAGCAGGCAGGCCCTGCACCCACGGGGGATGGGATGGGATGCAGGCAGCCGGGGGTGGGTGGGTGGGGTCAGCAAGCAAAGAAAAACGAGTCAACCGATAGGAATCAAGCAATCAACCAAGTAATACAATGAATGCCACCGGGGGGCGACCGACAAAGCAGCCAGTCAGTCACTCTAGCTCACAGACAGCCAGACAGCCAGACGGCCATACGGCCATAGCCATTGTATGAACTCACTGTGCATGTGACGGATCATATTCACGATAGACACGCTACATCAGTCAGTCACCACGATTGACAACACCAACCACACGCAATCAGCCACGCCCCGCCCCGCCCCGCCCGGCTCGCCAGAACTACTTATTCCACACAGCACAACACAACACAACACAACACACGCAATTGTGTCAGATGCACACGCACACATCTACACTCGTCACAGACACACACACACAGACAAGAGTAGAGTAGAGTGGGTTAGATACATACAAGGGAGATACACGTTGCAAAAAGGCACGCTGTCAGGTTGTTCGACTCGCTCGGTAAGCGAGCTCACAGAGACACCAACACGATAGAGGCACACAGGCAGGCAGGCAGGCAGGCCACTCGAGTCCATCGTGGCTGGGGGGTGGTGTGTGTCGTGCAGACAGAGGGAGAGAGGGCGGTACACGACATGAGAAGGAAAACAGCATGGCAATGTATGTAATGGCACCTAAGGAGGGGTGCGTGTGGCCACAGCCGGTCGAGCAAGGCCGGCAAGTGGTTACTGACACGCACTGCACGCACTTCATGACGCGACGCGAGGACAAAACGCCAAAGAAGAAAGAAAGACAGACAGACTGAGGCGCTAAAAACAAAACGAACGGCAGGGAAGGGCCCGCCATGATCGACTCGCCATGTGCTATCTGCTATCCGTCCAGGCAGCTAGCTAGCCATTCGCGCGCCCATCACCTCCCTTCTGAGCTACCTCGCCGCTATCCACACACCATACATACCATTGCCAACAAATTACCTGCCTGCCTGCCTGCCTGCCTCCCTAGCTGATCCCTCCATCTGCCTATCATCCCCTCCTCGCCGCTCTCTGCGCACCCCTCATCATTGCAGGAGCGCCGAATTGCTGACTGACTGACAAATGCACATAACCGACCCCACACAACACGCACAAACGAGACGACAGGACGACAAGGGGCAGGTCAGGCAACACAGCACACCACACCCCGCCACACGCGACGCCTGCGTCGCCACCCACTTTAAGGCGGCCACTCAGCTCATCTCATTCTTCGCCCGTTCTGCCCCGTCCAGCCCAGAGAGAGAGAGGGGGTAGGGTAGCGTAGAGACACAACACCCACCACCGTCCGTACGTCGGTCTGTCTGTCTGTCTGTCAGAAAAACGGCGAGACGTTTGTGTGGACGTGGTGTGTGTTGGTGGGCCCGAAGACGAAGGTGAATAGGATGATGATGGTGACGATGACGAGGAAGGGCAGCCAGGTCTTGACGGCGCCCTCGACGGACGTGTACTTGCCGTAGACGAGGAACCACGCGAAGATGTGGAACTGGGTCCAATTGCTGCTGCCGCGGTACTTCATGTCGTTGAGGGCCTTGGCGATGTGGTGGTGGCAGTTGTTGCACGCGAGGTTGTGCATCTCCTTGCCGAACTTGCAGTCGCTGCCGTGAACCGCTTCGTCCCAATCCTGGTCAGTTACCAGATGGCCATACACACTTGTGCACCGTGTGTGTGTGTGTGTGTGTGTCGATTTGGGTGTTTGCGTACCAGCAGAGCGTCTTGTGGCTTCAGCTGCAGATACTTTGTCGGCCTGCCGAACGCCATGGCGTCTGAAACACAACACAACACGACACAACACAACACAGCAGGCAGGCACGTGTGCCGATAGCCACGACACCCGTGATCGGTCCGGTTTGATTGCTCACCGATGCCGATGTGATAGGGACCAGCAAAGTCGTGACACGCACCGTCAGAGGCACAGATACCTGCACACAAGACACACACACACATCAACCTCTCCACCCCGTCGCGTGTGAGAGTCGTGTCGTGTGGTCCCTCTCTATCCCCCTCCCTCCCTCTCTCCCCCCTCCCTCACCAGCGTGGCCGATGATAGGGACGAAGTAGGTGAGGAGCGGGATGGGCGTCCAGATGAGGCAGAAAGGGTAGCGGTCCCTGTCCCTGTCGTGGACGATCTCGCCCTCCTCTCCCAGGCTCCGCGTCCGGCGCGGCGTGGGCGTGAACTCTCCCTCGTAGATGCGGACGGGCACCTCCTTCATCCCGAACATCACCGGCGGCCGGCTGGTGTGTGTGTCATGGGAGGGGTGCTGCTGGTGGTGGTGGGGGAGCGCCGACTGTGAGCGGCCGAGGGGTGAGGGCAGCGCGGCCATGCCCTTCCCCCGCATCCGCCGCACAGAGGCGGAGGCGGAAGAGGGCTCGATGACGAATGTTCTCCCCAGGGTGACGACGCCACAGGAAAACTGACGAGATTGACGACGGGGCGAGGAAAACTGACGAGGGGGATGTTGTGTGGGGTGAGGAAGATAAGGGAAGGAGAGTGGTTTGGTTAAGGGTTTGAAGACAGACTGCGAGCTTGCGAGCTGTATGTCGATCACGACTGAGAGAGGTCAAAAGGCAACAGGAAAGGAAGAAGACGAGTGCCGTGACGGAGGAGACTCTGTGGAGGGTCATCACGACAGAAAAATCGTGATTTGTTCGGCGCGTCGGGACGTCGATCGCATCCCTGAGCTGCGGCTTTCTGCTCATCGTGTGAAGCCGGTCGGCGGCCTTACGTGAGCCCGTGCAGCCGTGTGTTCATTCTGGAGGCAGCAAGAGGGTGTATGTCGGCTCCAGACACCAAGTCTGAGCCGTCAGGACAGCTATCGACGGCCCAGGGGGACACGCTGCCTGAGCCAGACCTCAAGATTATTCTTCTGGGCGACTCAGCCGTCGGCAAATCAAAGTGAGCGTCGGGAAGCCTCAAGCTTTGCTGCCCCTGCACTGCCTTGCATTGCTCTGTGGTGTGTGCGCGCCTTGTGTTGTGTCTGTCGGTGAGCAGGCTTGTGGAACGGTTTCTGCTTCAGAACTAGTAAGAAAAGCCATACACTCAATCAATGAAGGCGAGCCATAGCAGTTCGTTGGCTATGTTGTCATGTCAGCAACCCGAGGCAGCTGTCGACGTACGCGTTGACTCTCTTTCGCCATTACGAGACCATCGATGGCAAACGATACAGCGTTGGTCAGCGAGCGACGAGCCGCCCATCACATGGCATTGCACGGGAGTACTCATGGCGCCTTCGTTGTGTGGGTCATGCTATTCAGATTTCTGGGACACTGCTGGTCAGGAGCAGTTCGATCACCTGCACCCGAGCTACTACTACAGGGCAGACGCGTGCATTCTGGTGGGCCCCAGGATGGATGGCTCACCAACGCGAGACGCACAAGGGTGCTTGTATGTATCTATCGTGTGTGTGTGTGTGTCGTGTTAATTGTGCAGGCCTTTGATTGCACGCGCAAGGGCACCTACAAGAGCCTTGACAAGTGGTACAGGGAGCTGCGGGAGTACAGGCCTGACATTCCCTGCATACTCGTCGCAAACAAAATCGACGGTAGGCAGACAGCACAGCACGCACATCACATCCATGCCCACCTCATCTCGTCCGTGTCGTCTGTCTGTTCCCTCTGTGGCTCAGTTGACGAGAGCGTGACGCGAAAGAGGTTCCAGTTTGCGACGAACAACAGCCTGCCCTTCTACTTCGTGTCAGCATCCAACGGCACCAACGTCGTCAGGGTCAGTCAGCACACGGCAAGAGAGACACAAACACACAAACATACACACAAACACACGCACACGTACATCAATCAATGCTCTCTCTCTGTTTGGCCTCCCGTTGCCTGCGGTACATACAGGTGTTCCGCGAGGCCATTCAGCTTGCGGTTCACCACCAGCTGCACCCGAAAGACGAGGTGACCTCGGAGATCCTGAGGTTACTGCGCAGCGACGACCACACCGCCGCCCCCAACGCCCCTCCCTTCGACCCGCCCCTCTCCCCCTCCCCCTCCCACCCGTCATCACGCCAGTCGCCCCACCAGCCGCCACCAGAAGGTGGCCTGATGGGGCAGGGGCATCCCAGGGGACTGGTGTCTGTGTCGGAGTCGTCACGGGCAGGGCAGCAGTGGAGGGAAAACGGATGATGATTCGCACATCACATCTGTGCGTGCCGTGCCGTGTGGGTGGCGTGACGGACACTTGGTGGTTGTGGTGATGATAAGAGAGAGACGGATGGAGTCTCGGATGGTGCGTGTCTGCCTTGTGGATGGATGGCCGGCCATCTTTCTTGGGAGGGGAGCCTCTGTGGGTGGGCAGGGGAGGAGTGTCGGTGTACGCTCAGCTGCATTGCATGAGCTCTTTCGCGTCAGTCAGCTGCGTGATTGCGTGCGTGTACATACTTACATACATACGAATCAATCGGTAGGACTGAAGACCTTGCCACACACGCGTAGCTGAATCCTCCATGGATCCATGGGTAGCGTGTCAGTTCACCAGCACCACAAGGAAGGCAGGCCGCACACACTTGTGCTGATCTCACCCATCCATTCGTCTCACAACGTCTGAACCGAACCTGCCATCCACCCCATCTCTCTACTCGTTGTCTCTGGTCGTTAGGCTGTGATAGTTAGTGACAAGAAGAAGTAGGGATCACTCGCGTCTGCATACACTGAAAACACCTACCTACTCCGATATAAAATGCAGGCAACGATATGCATTCATGTCTCTTGTCAATCGGGGGACTTGCACATGCATCTCTTCATCGGCCGCCGCACACCACGTGCATTGGTCTGCATCCATTCGCCTCACATCACCCAAGCCTCGCATGTGCGCGATAAAGGCAGGTCGAGTACTTGGAATGAAAAGAACAACACACATGGCTGCTACCCTGGCCCAATGGAGTCCATCCATTGGATTTAAGTTGCTTCTGCCAGTACTTGCGTCGCTTGCGATCACGTCGATATAGCCATTCCGAAGCCGACTTACGGCCAAACAAGCAGCGCACAACACACAACACAAACACGAGACGCTACATGCCCTTTGGCGTGGATGCTATCACTCGTCGCCCGAGTCTTCCGTCGACTCGTCCATGTCCTCGCTCTCTGAGTCGCTCTCTGAGTCGCTCATTTCCTCCTCGTCAATCTCGACCTGCAGCTCACACAGCTCCTCCAGCTCTTCCTTGGCGTCTGACGGGCTGCAAACAACACAGCCATCGATGCAATCCATGCATGCACCGTCATTCGATGGGCGCAGCTCACCTGAACTTGTCGATGTCCCTTAATGTCCCTGCAGTCGAGCATGACGGGCCCCGCCACCTTATCACCCCGCCCGCCGCTGCCCTTGACCTCCCAGAGGGTGGCCGTGAGCAAGAGGCCCTTGCCCATGTCGCCCATCACCTCCAACTCGGCCTTCTGGAACTCCCACTTGTCCCACCCCAGGCCGCCCACTTGGCCGCGAACCTCTTCACGACCGACATTACGCGCAGCTGTCAGTTCGTCTGCTCACAGTTCGCAGGAATCAGTGCCGTCTGCTCGCCTCTTTTCGGGATGGTCGCCTTGTCCTTCCGAGCATCATCCTCGAGCATCAGGCGAGCATCATCCTCGAGCATCAGGCCGGGGCTCCGGCTCCAGCATCAGGCTGAGTGAGGTTGCACCGGGGCGGCAGGAGGGAATGACATCGACAAGTGAACACACGAACACAGAAGATTCTCTCGGTCTTTCGCTGGTGTGCCGGTTGTGCTATTGTGGGAGGCCCAAATTGTCTCGCATCATCGAGAATTCTCGGCAGAGGTCTCGTGCCCGTCGTGCCCTGCCGCTCGCCTTGAAGTTTCCTGTTGCCTTTCACCATCGAGACGCGAGAAAATGGAAGCCGATGCAGCGCGTGCACGTGTCGAGGCAGCTTTGCAGTCAGCGAAGCCCACAGTAGAGGCCCTGCACCAGCTGCAGACCAGCACGAGAGATAGCCTTACCGCACTCCTGAAGCGCTTGCAGACGGCCAAGGCCAGGGAGCGTGACAAGACTGGCCACGAGCAGGGCTCGCAGACAGAGGTAAGCAAACTGCATGCATCAGCTTACCTTGTGTCCATTGCAAAGCTGCGATTGTTCACCATGCATCTCTCTGCAGGCGGGCACCAGACTGAGTGAGACATCTGGCGCCCCTGCTGCCGAGCACCGGGACGCCGGGACGTCGCCCCTACCGTCGTCGCGCGACACACAACTCGAGCATGCATTGCAGGAGCAGACACAGGTGCGCCCAGTGCTTTTCCTCTGGCAATGGAAATGAATGTGTTGTGCCTGTCGTCCATGCAGCTACGTGGCCGCATTGCGCGATTGGAGGCTGCCCTGGCCGCTCACAAGAGGGCAGCTGGCGAGGCTGACGGCGACCTTGCGCAGGTCAGGGCCCGCGAAGCCCAGCTACAGTCCTTCTGCAGCAGTCTGGGCCACGCATATGAGTCCAAGGCTAGCGAATGCCGTGCGCTTCGAGACATCTTGATTGCACAGCAGGACCAGCTCAAGCAAATCAAGACGGAGGAGAAAACGGCGAGGCGAAGCCACAAGGCCTCACAGACAGAACCGACAGAATCGGCAAGCGAGATGGAGACAGTGAGAGAGGGCATCGAGTGTCTGACAGAAGATATAAAGAGCCGCATTGCGGCAGATATGAGCAGGCTGGTGAAGGGTGCGCAGAGCAGCAAAACAGCCGCTGGAGAGGGCAGGGCAAGTGGTGGTGGTGATGGTGGGGTGTCTGTGGTTGGGTTGGTTGAGCGATTGGGTGAGTTGGTGATAGCGATGGATGATGACAGGGTGATGCGCCTTGCTTCACTGACAGCACGGTCTTCATGAATGAATGAATGAATGAATCACGAAGTCACAATGATCTATTCTGAACCCTCTCTTGTCGTCGTCCTCTATGGACGGAAACGCCAAAAACCAATGCAACGCATTCGGGCTCAGTCACTCTGATCAGACAGCATTATCTTCCGCTTTCTCCCGAGCCCATCTGGGGCTCCCGCACACGGCCGCAGACAGACATCGGCGTCACCACCAAAAAGCCAAAACCCAAGACGAGTAAGAGAGGAAGCAGCAGCCAAGTGCCCATGAGCCGACAGGACAACGAGAGAGGGAAGGCCCCTCCTGGTCTTCACTTGAACTTGCTGTGCCGTGGTCCTCTGAAGATGGGTCCTCCCGGGCCGCCCCTCGGTGCGTGGTACCTGCCGATGCAGTCGGGGTTCTGGCCCAGCCAGTTGTAGTAGTAGCCGTGCTTGTGCCGCATATTGTAATACTGCTTCTTCATCCTGCACGCACACGCACACCGCACACAGGAACACGCAAGGGAAAATTGATGATCACGATGTCCGCCCCGCCTCTCTCTCTGCTTGGTTTGTGTGTCCACTCACTTGCCTCTGTCGGCCCTTGCCGCCAGCTTCTTGGGCCTGAGCAAGAGCATCGACCACTCACGCAGCGTCATCCCCATCGCTCCAACACCGGCAGCTATTCGCAGCACGGTCAAGCTGGGCAGCAAAGTAGTCGCCCTCGCGCACACATAGGATGGCATCGACGGGCCACGTGATGGCAGCGTGCTGGGCACGACACGGCGGATGCTTGGGCGGATCATATCCATGAGCAGGGCTGTACAGGGCTCAAGATCCCCGCTCCTGAGACGAAATCAACATTGCCATCATGCGAGCTCGTGAAAGAGGGCTGGGGGCTTCCAGTCTCGGCCCCCAGCAAGAAACGGTGTCAGCAGGACGAAGGAATGACTGAGGATCTTCGATGACGAATTGCGTCAGGCATTATCAGCCGCTTCCCACAAAGGACATCAGTGACACCAGCTGTGACATCTTCTGGGACGTCTGTGGCTTGGCTCCCTGGTGAATCGCTGGTCATTGACGAGGACTGACCACGACAGGCACACATATTTTGTCCTCTAGTATGAGCCGCGGCGGCGTCATGCTGCGGCCACGGCACCTCTGCTGGGCTGCGGCCCTGGTGTTTATTGCCCTGTTTTCCCTCCCCCCTGCCCTGGCCAACCGTGTCCACATCGTCACGGGATCAGACCCGACCGATGCATTAGCTGGCCAGGTCATCACAAGCAGCTCCTTGGGTCCTATCGAGGTGGAGGTGCTTGATGAGACTTTCGAGCGGGACACATCCTTCACGGCCGACGTTTATGCGGCCCTCGACCCCGCCGGTGGGCTTGGCGGAACACGCAGACAGCCGGCGAACAAAGCGGGAGGGGGTCTCGCTGTGTTTGATGATCTGACCGTGAAGACGGTCTCGACACCTGGAACCTACACGCTGTCTTTCTTCTGCGACGGATGTCTGTCGGACACGAGCCTGCCCTTCCGCGTGACCGCCGGCAGTGCTGTACGTCTGAAGATCACATTTCAGCCCACGACTCCCGTCACAGCCGGATCTCCTATCACTACTACCACTGTTGAGGCTGTTGACGTGGACGAGATTCGCGACGCGAATACTGATAGAGACATCACAGTTTCCATCACCGGGACTGGAGCATGCGGCGCCTCCCTCGAGGGCACAACGACGCGGTCCACCGGTGGCACTGGACAGGCGGACTTTACTGACCTGAAGATCAAGGCGGCCGGCGTGGGCTACACTCTCACCTTCTCTTCTCCGTCTCTCCCCGACGTCACGAGCGTCTCCTTTGACGTTACCGCTGAGACTGCAGCCGACAGCGTGGAGATCACCACACAGCCACCTGCGTCAGTGGTCGCACAGACGGTATTCTCTCTGTCCTGTACGCTAAAGGACTCGCACGGCAATACCGTCGCGGTTGGGGAGACTGTGGAGTTGACAACGGCTGCTACATTGACGGGCACGACGAGCGATTCTACCTCTGCTGGCACGGTGATATTCAGCGATTTGCGCATTGAAGACGCAGGAGCGTACACAATCACGGTAAGGGGGGACGAGCAACGGCGTCTGTCGGTCATGTGTCGTGTTGTGTCTCTTCCCTCCCTGTTTCCTGCAGGCATCGTGCACCACGTGCAGCGGCAGTCCTACCCCGGGCACCAGTACCTCCATCACTGTTGTCTACGATACGGAGATTATCATCTCTGGCGGCCCCGTCATCACAGAGGGGGGATCCGGAGAATACTCAGTCGTTCTCGCATCCCAACCGCAAAGGAATGCACAGGTGGATGCTAATTTTCCCAGCGGCATTACTCTTGACGCCGTGACCACCGTCCCCTACCCCCTCATTTTTACGCCAAGCGATTGGGACACGCCTCAAACCATCTATGTCGATGCGGACGCGGCCGGTGCGGCGGGCAGTGTGTCGAAGACATATACCATCACTCACTCGGCCACTTCAACTGACCCTGGCTGGGCTTCGCCGAACGTCCGGTGGATGCCCATGTCGGACGTGACTGTGACTGTGGTTAATGACGACTTTAAGGTCATCAGCATCACGGGTGGAGGATACATTGATGAAGCCACACCACCATCCCCCGCTACTTACAACATCGAATTGTTGTCCCCCCCGGCCGTTGATCCCACCACGATCTCCATCACCGTCTCACCCGCCGGCGCAGCGACGGTCGACCGCCCTTCCATCGACTTCACTGCAGCCACCTCCGGCCCCGAGCCCGTCGTGGTGACGGCCGTCGACGACAACATCGCCCGGCCGGGGGGGTCGCGGGTCATCAGTGTGGGGCACGTGGTGACCGCGGGGGACACGTCCTTCATATTCTCGCCGTCCAACACGATCGAGTACGGCATATTTGACAACGACGTGCCCAACGTCAGGTGGACCCCTGCGGCCGTGACGGTTTTCGAGGGCAAGTCGACGACCACGGTCGTCACTCTTGGCACCGAGCCGGCAGCCGACGTGCAGGTCTCTTTGTCCTGCACGCCCGGGACGGCGGAGGCCCTCCCTGCCACACAGACCCTGACGGCATCGTCCTACTCGACTGGTGTAACCTTCACGATCACTGCCATCGCGGGAGGCGGGACACCGGGGCTGTCCTACGACCACAGGTGTCAGGCGAGCCTGGTATCTGATGACCCTGTGTACAACAGCCCCATGGAGCTGCCTTCCGAGGGCGCAGGGGAAGTCCTCGTGGCCATCTATCGGAGAGCCTGTGTGGGTGGCACATTCAGGTGGGCAGATGGGAAGAGACCGGTGACCATCACTTTGTGGTGTGTTTGGATTGGTTTGTTCGGTCAGTGCCACTTGCGACCTCTGTCCTGCGGGTTCGCAATGTGCTGGCGGGGTCTCTTACCCATGCCCACCGGGAACATACAGGTGAGGCCATTCATCCATTCAACACCGTCATCGCACCGACCTGTCATGTGTCTCGGTCAGCAACGCTGGGGACGCCACGTGCACTCCCTGCCCGATAGGCCACCAGTGCGATGACCCCTCAAACGTTCCCCCTGCTCTCACTGCCTGCCCTGCCGGAACCTATGCACACCTTAATGGCACGGTTCTCTGCGATCCCTGCCCTGCGGGTCATGCCGATTTCCACTGTGCACGCATGGCCATCCGGGACAAAACGAGACACCCGTTGTATGTTCCCTGATGCTCAGGACATGAGTGTACCGACAACACGGCGCTCCCCCGACCGTGTGCTGCCGGCTGGTACAACCCGGCCAAGAGCAATGGTCCTTGCACCGAATGTGGCGCCGGTAAATATTGCCCGCCCCCTCGTGCCGTTGAGCTGGACTGTCCGGCCGGCTACTATAGCCAGGCCCCCACCGGGACCGGCGGGGCCGAGTACTGCACCATCTGTCCCGCAGGCTCTTCATGCACCGCCACAGCAGCCACTGTAAGCATGGGTGTATGTGAGGCCCATGCATTGGTGCACACATCTCCTTGTCTTATCGTTTTCGGAATTTGCACAGGCGTGTGCTCTTGGACAGTACGCTCCGGAGGGCACGCCCGACCCGCCGGGGTGTTTCGACTGCCCCGCCGGCATGGCGTGCAATGTGACGGCGCCGACTGAAGTCTGCCCCCTGGGGACCTTCTCAGAACTCGTATGTGTGACATCTGGCATACGCTTTGTCGCATACGTATGTGCATTGCTGCCTGCCTGCGCGTATGTCCGGCTGCAGGGTAATGATGAGTGCCGCACGTGTCCCGCAGGCTTTGAATGCACCGACCCAGGGGCGGCGCCTGTCGTAGGGCACTGCACACAGAGGCACAGGCACTCGTGGGCAAGATTGTACTTGCTTTTGTGTGCTGACTTATTCAGCAATGCAGCAATGCATTTCCCGCGAACACACACTACTCCCTCGGCGGCCAAGTCTACTGCACGCCATGCCCCGCAGGTCAATGAGACCAACAATCAATGTTTATTTGTCAGCAAACACACACGGCTTCGGCTTCATGGCGTTGATTCGCTCAGGCTATAGATGCGACAATGGTCTTCCGGGGGACCAGCCCCCTGTTCGCTGTTTGGAGGGGCAGTACTCATACGAGGGCGATGGCAGATGCCGTGCGTGCGACCCGGGATATCTGTGTCCTCCCGGATCAGCCACACCCTCACCGAGAGGAGCCGAATGTCCAGAGGGGTGGGGTGTGTCTAGCCACGGAGAAGGAACAACAGTGAGACCCATGATCTATGTGTGTGCAGGACGCACTGTGAGGTCGCGGGCGACCCCGTTTTTGGTCAGGTTGTGCTGGCAGATTGTAACGCTGGGACGTGGGGCCCCATGAGAGCCGCACGATCGCAAGCTGACTGCAGGGACTGTCCTGGAGGTCAGTGCACGGTGAAACGACACAGACCTTCGCTTGCCTTCCTTTCACGATCGATTGATTTGCTTTTTTGGGTCAGGGTTCTACTGCCCGGCGGGGACCGGCGTGTTCAACCAGTACCCCTGCCCGGCTGGCTATTGGTGCGACCCAGGCTCGACAACCGGCTTGCAACACCCGTGTGTCGACGGTAAGCAAAGAGAACGCAATCGTGTGGATCCACTCACGGATTACTTATCGGCTGCTGCGCTCTATATACAGGCACGTACAATGACGAGATCGGCGCAGTCAGCCAGGACGACTGCAAGCCCTGTCCGGGAGGCACCTACTGTCCCGATCAAGCCGCCCCCGGCATTACGGACCCCACCCGCTGTCCGGCGGGCTACTTCTGTCCCCAGGGCATCGACGACCACACTTTTTACCCCTGCTTCAGGGGCACATACAGCCCCAATGAAGGCATGTGGCATCAATAAACGGACGTGCCTCACACAGCAGACGAACAGTCGGGTCTCTTTGTCTCTTGCATGTGTGCAGGGATTGAGCATCCGTCCGATTGTCTGGAGTGTCCCATGGGTCACTACTGCCTCGACGCTGCCGTGGAGCCCACACCCTGCCCCCCAGGCACATTCAACAAACACCCGGGTGCAGGGTACTTCGAGAACTGCGAGCTCTGCCCTCCCACGTACACCTGCCCCCTATATGGACAGACGGACTACGCAGGAGAGTACAGCTTCCGGTCGGTAGCTGGCTGCCGACACATCCAATCACTGCGCATGAAGTTTCTGTCGATGGTTTGCTTGTGGCAGGTGTGCTGAGGGCCATTATTGTCCCCGCGGGACAGAGCGGCCCGACTCGCATCCCTGTCCGCCGGGCACCTACAGCAACAAGACTGGCGTCGAGTCGCTGGCGTCGCCCCAAGAGTGCCACATATGCCCGCCTGGCAAGGTAAGTGCGCAGACATGTTGCATCTCCACTGGCCCACTTCTTCTCTGTTGTTGATGGCTGACGTCAGGCGTGTGACTGGGGCACCACCGGCCCGACAGGCACGAAGCCACCAGTGGATTGTGCAGCTGGATTCTACTGTCCTGCGGGTATGTCCCCGCGCCTTCGACGGCCAGAAGCAACCCTTTGCCCTTCATTTTGTCGGCGCTTCTGCATTGATTCGTTAGGTACGTCCGTCCCATCTCAGTATCCATGCCCCCCTGGCACCTACGATGCGGCGACCAACCTGACTGACTCGTTCCAATGCGATCCGTGCCCGGCGGGCTCGTACTGCCTCGGTGGTGACACGGCGGTGACCGGCCTTTGTTTGGAGGGCTACTACTGCCCTGAAGGCAGCTCCACCAATAGTAAGCGAGCCTACCGAGAAACAAGCCTTGACACTTGAGTCCTCACGCCTTGCGTGCTATTTCCTGCGTGGCAGAGGCGTTTCCCTGCCCCGCTGGAACGTTCAGAGCCACTCCGGGCGCAACGGTCAGGGGGGAGTGCCAGAGAAACACAAAACGGATCCGTTTATACGTTGTGTTTCGCTTCCACCGCCTGCTTCAGAGTGTGGACGATTGCGCGAATTGCACAGCGACTAACTACTGCAACGAAGCGAGCACTTCACAAGAAGTCTGCCCGGACGGTACCTAAAACAGGACGCTTCGATGCGATCCACCATGTCTCTGCTGCTGTGCCTTACAGGCTCCTACTCTGATGGCCCGAATTTCAAATACAGAGGTCAGTCGTACACATACAACTTTCGACACGCCTTCAACTTGTGTGTTGGTATGCCATGCAGGCCCTTCTGACAGCTACCCTTCGTGCATCCGGTGTCCTGCTGGGTACAGCTGCACCGCCGGCGACCGCGCTAATTGCACCGCGGGCAGTTACTCGAGAAGCGGACAGTCCAGCTGCACGCCTTGTCCTGAGGTGCGGAGGGAGGTGCCGAGTGGCAGAAAGATGATCAACGAAAACCCTTCTGCTCTTGCATGTGTGCACAGGGGCACTTTTGTGACTCCGACACGACGAGTGAGGCGGAGATGCTGTCCAACAAGTGTGCGGCGGGTCGCTTGTGTAACGCCTTGAGCATCGTTCAAGATCCCACCGACACAGACGACAGGCCGTGTCCCGCTGGCAGTTACTGCCCAACAGGCACCACGGCTGCAGGTGGGCCTGGCTACAACCACAAGCAACAAAGAATGACCTGTCGAATCTGGTTTGTGGCCGGCTCTCTGGCTGTTCTGGCTTAGTTTCCTGCCCTGCTGGTACTTACAACAATCTCGAAGGCCGAGGGTCTTTGAGCGACTGCCGGCCCACTCCTGCGGGGAACTATTCGGATCCCGGGGAGACCAATCCACTGGGGACGGGCGAGTGCGACGAGGGCCACTTCTGCCCTGAGGTGAGCAGCCAGCAAAAGCACACACAGCTCCGGATCCAGCCACTTGTTGTTCTACGCGGTTGGTTGGTTTCCAGGGCTCATCCTCGCCGACGCAAGAGCCATGCCCCCCGCGGTAATGAGAAGCATGCAGAGATTAAGCCATCATTCACTCTTGTATCTGTGTGTCAGGACGTACCGCAATCTGACTGGTGGTCGAAGCTCCGACGACTGCGCGCCCTGCCCGACTGGCTTCTACTGCACGGGCGCCACCAGTGACCCCACGCCATGCGACATCGGCTTCTACTGCACACTCGGAGGTGAGTGACGAAGACAGACAAACACCTGTCTCACGATTGTCTCACGAATGAGCTCACCTTCACTCATTCATTCTGCCTGTCTGTCTATCTATCTATCTGTCTGCCTTGCAGTCGACCGGGGCTTCCCATGCCCGCCAGGCACATTCGGGTGAGACCGTCTTACGCCATTGATCGATTGACTGATTGACTGATTGATTGATTCCTTCGTTCACTGTGAACGTATGTCTCTATGCAGCAATGTGACTGGGCTTCGGCGGTCGACCGATTGCGAAGAGTGCACGCCGGGCTACTACTGCGACCAGTACGGTCTGAGCGATGTGTCGGGTCCTTGCGACCCAGGCTTCTACTGCTCGGGGAGATCAGCCACATCCGCGCCCAGAGACGACATCCAGGGCAACATCTGCCCCGCGGGAGGATACTGCGAGGCTGGATCACCTGGGCCATCGCGGTGCCCCATCGGCAAATACAACGCCTACGAGGGCGGAAAGAGCCTAGCAAACTGCCTCGAGTGCCCGCCTGGTGAGTCAGCTGATGTCACGTCCGCAAGTAGCGATGTGCATCGCTTCCATTGACGGGAGCGCGCCCGTGTGTCTCTCTGATGGCTCTCACTGACTGACCATGCGCAGGTCTGTGGTGTGGTGGTACTGGAGCGGCTTTGCCCCAGGAACCCTGCAAGGAGGGGTTCTTCTGCCCTGGAGGGGCCCAGGACGAGAGAGGAAAGACCGATAACGACACCGAAATGCCGGCGCAACCAGGCAAGCAATTGTCTGGGTCACTATGTTACAGCCATTGGGTGTGGTGTGTTGTCACTTCGTGCGCGCTGCCCTGATGACCCATGCAGGCTACTATGCTCCTGCGGGGGCGCACAACCAGATCCCCTGTCCAGTGGGCACCTTCCAGGCCAACAACGCCTCCTCTTCGTGCAACCCCTGCCCAGGAGGCTTCTACTGCGACGAGCAGAACCTCGATGACCGCAAGGAGTGCCCTGAGGGCACTTATTGCCCGTCAGGTGCATCCATCTACCTGCCATGTCCGCCCGGCACCTACAGGAACGAGACAGGTGGGCAGGTGCTGGCGACGGATTGCAAGGGGTGCGAGGACGGCAAGTACTGCCCCGACTACGGGATGACCAGCGCAACCCTCGACTGCGAAGCGGGCTACTTCTGCAAGAGTAAGCGACGGCCGAATACTATTATTGTGTACTGTCGATTGCTCGATTGTACAGAGGACCCGTCGATCAACAAGGGGTCGGACTCTCCTGCGCCACAGGTACGTACAAAAAAGACATGAACATGGGAATGGCCACGTTCGACCGTCTGCTTGTTTATAGACCACCACATCGACAGGCGGCCCATGCCCAGCTGGCCACTACTGCGGCAACGGAACGGGCGATCCGACCCCATGTGACCCAGGCTTTTATGCCCCCACGGAGAGAAACGTAGACAGCGATGGCTGCCTGCCATGCACACCAGGATGGTAAGCGGTGATACTCTGGATGTTCCATTTATTGTTGATCCATTGTTCCAATGGCTTCGGCCCAATGGTGTGTTCATTCAGGTACTGCGCCACTGCGGGCTTGGCAGCGCCAACTGGTCTGTGTGACGCGAATTATTTCTGCGAAAGGAACAACACAAACCCCAGGCCGGGTGGAGATGAGTGCAAAGTGGGGCACAAGTGTCCCGCAGGCTCAACAAGGATGGTCCCCTGTGAAGAGGGGACGTACCAGGACCAGGATGAGCGCAGCGAGTGCCTCACCTGCCCCGCTGGATCATACTGCGGCGTTGCCACCGGGTTTCCTAGTGCCGCATGTCCAGAAGGTGAGTTCCAGCACTCTGTCCAGATGCAGACAACAGTCGATTGCCTTTTGAGACAATCGCTGTCTTTCGTCGCTGTCTTTCGTCCGCTTTGCATGCAGGTCACTTCTGCCCTGCCGGCACAAGATATAGCACGGAGTTCCCCTGCCCTGCAGGTTTGTCTGCCTGCATGAATGTCGACCAACGGACGCACAGACAGAATGACAGAAAAACCTTTCTGTTGCTTGTATGTCTTGTGCGTGACTACGTCAGGTACCTATAACCCCGACTCCGGCAAGCAGACATGGCACGCGTGCCTTGAGTGCCCTCCTGGCCGGTATTGCCCTACGCAGGGCCTCGACTCGACTGTATCCCCGACTGGATCAGCCAACAAATGCGACGGCGGCTTCTACTGCACGGGAGGCAGCATCTACCCGAATCCTGTTGGAATAAGTATGTCGATCTAATTGTTCACAGAGAAACCCTCGCATCTGCCTGTGTGTCTGTGTGTCTGTATGTCTGTGTGTCTGTGTGTCTCTGCCTGTCTGTGTCTGCCTGTCTGTGTCTGTCTGTCTGTCTGTCTGTCTGTGTGTCTGTGTATTGCAGACACTTCTTACGCCGATCCCGTTGCTGGGGAGGACACAACCATCTGCGGCGGGGGGCCCGACATAACATACCCTACACAAACAGCGGCAGAGGTCAGGCAGCTAGGCCGCGAGGAGACATCATTACACCCACAGGCGGAAAGCCGTCAAGCTCCTGGCTGTCTGCTGGCTGACGTATCCAGGATTACTGCACGGCGGAGCCGACATGCATCGGTGTGGTCCAGCACGGCTCGGGCGACTGGCATCCCCGCTGCGGCAGCGCCACATCAACGGCCACTTGGGTGCCCAATGCCGTGGGCGTCGTGTTTCCTCAGTTCTACAGAAGGATACAGGGCGGGGGCGGCAGGTGCACCGCGGTAGGAATGACACTCTTTGTGGACGGTTCATATGTAACATGTCTCTCTTCATGTCTCTTCTTTTATCGCTTCAGGGCCACTTCTGCCCGGCTGGCAGCACAACAGAGAACCCCTGCGATCCCGGCTTCTACTGCGCAGCAGATGGGCTCAACACGACCACGGGCAGCTGTGCGGCGGGCTTCTACTGCGGTCGGTGACTAATTCCAAACAACCTGGAGGAGACACCATGAGCCGCTTGTGTACGTTGCGTTGCAGATGCTGGTGCTGCTGTTCCCGCTCCGCCTGATCGTGTGTGTCCTAAGGGCGGCTACTGCCCCGCAGGCACGACGACTGTGCGGAACTGCCAAGCAGGCGAGTTCCAGCCATCGAGGGGCAATGACGACGAATCCGACTGTTTCAATTGCACAGTAAGACAAGCAGACCATATACGCATGGCCCTTGGCCCTCTCTGACTTGTCTATTTTGCTAGTCTGGCTACTACTGTGCGACCCCGGGCCTGCCAGCGCCAACGGGGCCATGCGACGTTGGTGAGTAAGATCATACGCAAACAGGCACACTCGCTTTCCCTCTCTTCATTTTCTGGCGGTAGGTCACTATTGCGAGGAGGGCAGCTCATCGCGGACTCAGAACCCGTGCCCAGCTGGCCACAGATGCCCAGTGGCGTCGAGCTTTCCGATTCCGTGTACGGTGGGCAGTTACCAGCCCAGCGGACAACAAGGCAGCTGCATACCCTGCGGAGCCGGTCAGTCAGCCAGCCAATTAGTCGTTCTCGAACGAAGCGGATGGTGCCTCACAATGTGCTGGCTGCAGGGGTGTATTGCATCGAAGGGGCAAGCAGCTCCACGCCGCCACCCTGCGCCGTGCGTGACAGACTCACAGAACAAACACGTTTCGCAGAGCTACTGTTTCTGTCTCTCATCTGCAGAAGGGCTTCTACTGCCCTGCTGGCACGGCATACAGAGACGTAAGCGTTCCTCCTGCCTGTCAGCAAGCAAAACCAAAACACGCACTCGATCAAGGTGTTTGTTCCTCAGCAATACCCGTGTCCTGTCGGCACATTCCGTGACACTGATGGAGCGGAAACCATCGCAGACTGCTCAGATTGCACTGCGGGCAACTACTGCGACGAACTGGGGCTGGACGTTCCTGCTGGGTCATGCGATCCGGGTGAGACCGACCAGACCTGGCAGTAACATTGTGATCAATCTCGTGTCTTGTCTTTGTCACTCAGGATATTACTGCCCCGCCAACAGCCCCAGCGAGTCAATCACACCCCGACCGTTGAACAATTACTGCCGCATGGGCGAATACTGTCCGGCAGCCTCAGGCGCACCCACCAACTGTCCAGCGGGGCTGTACTGCGGCCAGGGAAGGTCGAGACGCACCACCGCACACCGTACTTGAAGAAGTAGAGAAGGATTGCACGGTTTTGCTTGCAGGCTGGAACATCCCTCTGGCTTCTGCCAAGCTGGGCATGTGTGCACAAGCCGGTCCTCGACCGCCGCCCCCCTCAACACCCACGGCGCGTGCAGCGAGAATATGGTCGGATTGCTGTGTGATCCGGGACACTACTGCATGTCAGGTATGGAGAGCAAGTACGTATTGATGGGAGACGTCATGCGTTTTCTGCTTCAGGCTCCACAATTCGCACCATAGCCGGCGGGGGTGGGTCGACCAACGACAACATCCATGCCCTCGATCGTGACTTCACCGGCGGCGATGGCCCCGAAGACGCCATCGAGGACGCAGATGGCAATGTATACCTCACCTATCCCGGGGAGCACATAGTGCTCCGCATCGACAAGGGCACGCGCAACATCACCACCATCATTGGCACTGGGACTGCCGGTGCCATCCCTCCGGGACCCGTCCTAGGGACAGCCTTTCCGTTGGATGAGCCGAGAAGGCTGGCCATGGATACGAAGGGAGGAGTGCTGTACGTATCGGACTCCGGCAACAATCGCGTCATCAAGTATCTGATTGCCGACGAGGAAGCGGAAGTGCTGACGACGGGCCTGAGCGACCCCCGCGGCATGGAATATGACCCATCCTCAACCGAGCTGTACGTCGCGCTCGCTGGGTCCCACGAGGTGGTGTCGCTGGACACTACTAATGGAGCTAGAACCGTTGTTGCCGGAACATCAGGCACATCTGGATGTAAGACAGACAAAAGTCGATGTGCTGCGACTGTTGCTGTATGTATCCTTGATTGGTGTTGCAGCTGCAGCCGGTTTCCTCGACACGCCCATGGATGTCACCCTCGACAGCAGCGGCAACATTTATGTCGCCGACTTTGGTAACCACATGGTGAGTACAGTCACACACGGACATACAGGCGCCAATATTCGCTCCTCACACAAAATGGCTTTTTCCCTTCAGATTCGCGACGGTAGCCTAGCCACGATTCCCGCTTGCACCACAATTCCCCCTTGCGTCGGCGACGGCAACGATGGTTCGGATGGCGATTCAGACATCTACAAGATTCGACCTGACTCGGGCAGCTTTGATACTGTTTCCCTAAGTGGCCCGACGGCAGTGCAGGCCGTCAGACTCACAGTGGTAACACAGGCGAAAGCGTAGCACGCAAGAGTGTCTCGCCAGCACCACCCACGGTCGGCCCACATGTGTATCTGTATTGGCTCATCAGACCAGGGAGGCTCTTTTCATCGCAGATCAGTCTGCGCATCGGTCAGTGAGAGACAATGACATCAGTCGGCTCGATACGTTGAATAGTGACTGCTCATCATGTGCCTGCCTCTGCAGCATTCGATTCATTCCTTTCTGGACAGCCCCCAAGATCTACACGGTTGCTGGCGACGGCACAGGTGGCTTCACCAAAGACGGGGGGGCCTTGCCTGCCAACGAAGCGCAAGTCCACACACCAACCGGCCTCAACGCCGCAGTCAGACAAGTGAGAGCACCATGCTATATCTTCCGCACTCACCATGGCCATCTTGCCCCGCGTGTGTGTCAGTCGAACGGCTACGCGTGGCATCTATATGTGGGGGACAAGGGGAGCAACCGCATTCGTCAGCTCATCATCTCGCCAACTCTGTATGAGTCGTCTTCCAGGCAAAAATGCCCTGTTGGTGAGCGACCGAGCCTGCCATACAGGGGAAGTTCCAACCTTTGCTTGTTTGTCTCGTCCCTCAGGCTCGTACATGCCCTGGACGGGCAACACTGCCGAACAAGACTGCATTCTGGTCAATACAAAACATGCGACACACAAAGGCAGTCACCTCTGGGGCGAACCAATCGCAATGTTGCGTCTCTCCATGGGTCTTCTCTGTGTCAGTGTGATCCGGGCATGTACTGCAGTTCCCTTGGTCTGACGGCCCCCACCGGTCCCTGCCAGTCCGGGTACTACTGTCCCGAGGGATCCAGCAGCGTAACCGCCGTCGACTGCCCCGCGGGACACTACTGCGAACAAAGACCAGGTGTGTCAGTAGGGCACACGTCAATCATACGCACACCACACGCCAATGTACTCTGTGCGTCAGGGGTGGATGACGATCGCGTAGAGAACAAGCCCGCCTCGTCCACGACTGCCATTCCCGGGTTCCCCCCCTCCAACGCCGTGGATGGCAACGGCGGCACCTACTGGCAGGCGGCTTTTACGGGAGCGACGTATCTCGAGGTGTCTCTGGAGGAGTGGTACTTGGTGGATCGATTCCACATCACCATTGTGACTTCACCGGACGGGCTCTACCTCACGGCGTTCACACTCCAGTATGAGGACTTCTCTGCAACCAGCGGGCAGTGGGTCGACTTCACCATCGAGCACTCCATCAGTGCTCCAAACACGACGGTAAGTGACTGAAGGAAGGGACACAGAATGACAGCAAAGACGTCCTTGCGACCTCGGTAACTAGATCGACGCGGCGATCGACCCTCCACGCCCAGTTGAACGGCTCCGACTGAGTATCACAAGTACGGCTGGGACAGGGAACATCAAGATATCCGACTTCAACGTTTACGGCAGCAAAAGCACCGGTAAGGGAATGCGAAGCAGCCGTCACGCTCTCTTGTCTCCGTTCGCCATGATTGGCCCGTCTCTGTCAGGGGCCCCTGTCGCCGTGCGGTGCTCGCCAGGCACATTCCAAGAAGCCTCGGCACAAGCCAGCTGCCTCGTGAGTCATCCAACTCCATCGATTCACTCACCCATCGCACACACGTTTATGCCATGTGTCCCTTCCCTTTAGACCTGCCCTGCGGGCTACTACTGCGACGGCATCCAATCGGACCGGGCCCTTGACTGTCCAGCAGGCTACTACTGCCCGGAAGGGACTGAGTGGGGCACCCAGTACCCCTGCCCTGTCGGCACCTACAGCGATGTCCAACGTCTCACCTCGTACACGGAGTGTAAGCCGTGCTCAGCCGGCCAGTACTGCGCCCGGCGGGGCCTGTCTGCACCCAGCGGGCTCTGTGCGGCGGGCTACTACTGTAGGGAGGGCAACTTCCTCCCTGCCCCACGAGTCAACGAGACTAACCCGGATCCTTTGGCCGAGAATGTTACCATCCTCGGTGGCCCGTGTCCTCCCGGCTCCTACTGCCTGGAGGGGACGGAGTACGAGACGCAATACACATGCCAATCGTAAGTCCGCCAGGGAGACACTGGATATACCCATTGCGCATGTGTGTGGTTGTTGTGGTCGCTCCCGCAGAGGATTCTTCTCGGTGTCGGAGGGCGCCGACTCGAACGTCAGGTGCGGTGAAGCAGTGCCGGCAGATCCATATACTCTGTTGAATGTGCACCCTCCTATGGTATGTGTCTGTGCTCAGCTGCGTGGCCTGCACTGCGGGATACTATTGCGAAAACACCACCACCACCATCCGCCAACCATGCCTTGGCGGGTACGTGTGTCTCAGCGGCAGCGACACTGGCCAGCCCGACGGCTCTGACTCAGGATGTCCAGATGCGTATCCGTGTAAGGGCTACCCTTGCCCTGAAGGCTACTACTGCCCTGCGGGCACATTCGCTGAGAAGGTTTGTAGGGGAGAAAGATCGACACGATTGTAATCGTGGTGGAAGTATCCTCCTAATTCCGCTCTGCAGGCGTGTCCTCCTGGCACGTATAGTGGCGCCAGAGCGCCTGTGTGCAGTGACTGCCCGCCGGGAAAGTAAGAAACCGTCACCCGGACAAACCAAAAAATAGAAGAGAGGGATAGACCGATGGATGGATGGCTTCGTTCAGGTACTGTCCGATATCGGGTCTGAACGCCTCGTTTGTGCAGGGTGCCAATGCCCCATACATCTGCCCTTTTGGCCACTACTGTCCGGAGGGAAGCATCACCCCCGTCCCCTCCCTGCCGGGATACTTCGTCGACTACGAAGGCGCGCAGAAGCCCACACCGTGCACCAACGGAGAGTATTGCAGGTCAGCAGTCTGTCTTTACACGAATGGATGGTGGGATGGATGGATGGATGCATTCGATAACAATGTCTGCTCCTTCCTTCCTTGTTCGTAGTGGCTACGGGCTGAGCAGCACGTCCGGGAGGTGTGCGCCAGGCTTCGGGTGTCAGCAGCCGCCCTGTGCGCCAACCGACATCATGTGTCCCCCCGGTGCAATGTACCAATACGAGGTCGACCGCATCTTCGACAGCGCTGACGACATATACGTCGGCAGGTGCCCCATAGGCCACTACTGTCCCGCCACGAACCCTGACGGATCGCTCTTCGGCGGCGTGCCACTGCCATGCCCTCCAGGGGAGTACCAGGTACCTGCCGATGGCTTACTGCCTCCCTCCTTCAGGCAGAAGAGAGTATCGACACCACCCGCACTTGTCTGAGCGTTGCATTTGTGTTCAGGACACGCACACAGCTGATGAGTGCAAGAAGTGCCCACCTGGGAAAGCATGCACTGTCCCGGGGCTGTCGTCGCCCGATGCCGACTGCCAGGCGGGGTACTTCTGCGCCGGGGGAGCCGCGACTACAAGTACACACACCACGAGAGAGACGCGGAGACGTCACTCTACAATGCTCTCCCCATCTGCGATCACGCGTGCAGCGCCGGTGGGGTTTGGCAATCCTCAGGGCGGGGAGTGTCCAGTGGGCCATTACTGTCCGACGGGCACCAACAGCTCCATTCCATGCCCGCCCGGCGAATATGCCAACGTGGCCCGGAGCGCGACATGCTTGCCATGCCCCCCCGGGAAACACTGCATCAACGGCACCTCCACCCCAGGGTCAGCTACACTACCCAGACGATGGATAGATTGTGTGGACGATCGTGTGTGTGTGACTCGTGTCTTCTTCAGACTGTGTCCTGCTGGCCGCGTGTGCAATATTTCCAGTCAGTCGGGCTTTGACGACGCTGGCGGAAGAGGGATAGCTCCCCTTGTGTCCCTCCTGTGCGTGTCTGTTGACGTGTTGTGGTCGGTCAGGCGAGCCATGTCCCATAGGCAGTTACCGAGACGCCATTGGCCTCCCTGACGATGTTGGCGAGGACTGCGCGCCGTGTTTGCCTGGCTGGTACTGCCGGGCCGGACAGCAAGTTGGCCTATGCGCCGTAAGAGAAGAACTATAGACCAAAACATTGATCACATCTAGACGGTTGTCTGTTCTCTGTGTGTGTCAATGTCGCCGCTGACCTCCTCAGGCCGGGTAGGTCGCGTGAGAGGCCATTCCTTTGTGTCTCCATGGGAAGGATCTGCCTGTCTGCGTGACTGTGTTCAGGTACTTGTGTGGTTTCGGCAACCGGCACCCCAACCCCCGCCCCGACAAAGGCAACAGTGGCCCCGGCGTGACGTACACCCGCCCGAGCGCCACTGTCGAGTACATAAACTACACCAACTTCGTCAGGCTGCACTATAATCCACCCGAGGAAGTATATGGTGATTTGGGGCGGCATGGATCACACACACAGAGCGCGAATACGAGACACCGTCTGTCTGCCTGTCTGCCTGTCTGCCTGCAGGTGGCATCCAGTGTCCGCCAGGGTTTTACTGCAGAGAGGGTAGGCAGAAGGGCCGTGTGTCAGCCACCGGGTGACTACCGTCTGTCTGCATTGTGTGCAGGCACGGGTCGATGGGGGGATGACTACAAACCGCAGGAGTGCACGGATGGGTCGGTCCGGCTGTTCCCTGGGGGTCGATATGAGTCTGACTGCACCAACTGCCCCGCTGGCTACTACTGCCCGCCAAACATGTCACCTCCGGTCAGCCTCGCATCCAGCCAGCCAGCCAGTAGTTGCTCGAGTCTCACATGCAGCTGTTTGTTTCTGCTGATTGCCATGATAGATTCCCATCGTCTGTCCAGCTGGCAGCTACTGTCCGGAAGGTAGGTATACACACGGAAGGAGACATTCGTAGACGGATTTGCACCCCAAGCATGTCACTCATCTCGATCGGCTGACCAGGTGTGCAAGCGCCGATCCCCTGCCCCGCATCTCTCTACAACCCCTTCACGGAGAAGAAGTCGCTGGCGGCGTGCATCCCGTGCCCGGCGGGCCGCTGGTGCACACAAGACGGCACACCTGACGCCTACGATGAAGCCGAAGGGGCGATTGCATGCCCTGTATGTAAAGGACACACAGCCACAGCACACACAAAGAACGTGGGCAACGCTTGAGGGATCTTCTGTGTGTGTGTGTGTGTGATGGATGGCTCGAGCAGGTTGGCTCCTACTGTGTGAACGGCACTCGCGACCCCATCCCCTGCCCGCCCGGCACGTTTGTCGACTTCCCGGGCGCCATGGATGTGTCTGACTGCAAAGACTGCCCGCCGGGCTTCTACTGTGACTTCTCCAATAACACGGTGCCCGACGCCATGTGCCCCCCTGGCACCTACTGCCCCGGCAGATCGGCCCGCCCCCGCGTGTGTCCCGCGCGCTTCTACTGCCCGCCCGTCACCGACCCGAATGGCACTGTCATCTCCGGCACGGTGGATCCCATTGAATGCCCGGCAGGCTACTACTGCAAGGCGGGGACGGGAGCGATCGAGGCCGTCACCAGGCTACTGCAGGGGGCGGCACTGTACTCGGGCTTCATTGACCTCCCCGAGTGCGAGACGGGATTCTACTGCCCCAATGGCACCGATGTGCCGCGACCTTGCCCCCCTGGCTACAGGGGCATTGATGGGACAGGCCAGGAACCGGGGTTCAGAACCGCATTTAATGAGGCGTGCATCCCCTGTGAACCGGTGAGAAACAGACGGTATAGGCAGTGAGTGGAAAGAGAGAGAGTCCTCATACTGCCGTGCCGTACTTCCTCGTTTGTGTTGATTCACTGATTCATTGATTCATTGATTCATTCATTCAGGGGACGTATCTGGAGGATCAGAATGCGACTGAATGTCTGCCATGCCGGCCCGGATATGTCTGCGTCAATGCAACCAACAAGATGTATGTATACAAATGAAAAGAAAGAGGAGAGAGAGGAGAGGACAGCTGCTGCGCATCGATCCAGCAATGTGGCTCCCTTGCAAACGAATGCAGGCACCCCACCGTATTGGAGAGAGATGGGGGGTATGAGTGCCCCCTGGGCCACTTCTGCCCCTCACCCGTCGCCGCTGAGCTGCCCATGGTCGGCACGGCAGAGGAGTTCCCATGTGTGGCTGGCACATACGGACCTCTTCCCAGGCAGTCCACTAACGAGTCGTGCCTCCCTTGCCCCGTAAGTGCACCACCCACGCAATGATATCGATGGACGCAATCCAATGGCCCTTCTGCGTGTGTGTGTGCATGTGCTGCAGGTGGCGACATTCAATCCACTGACAGGCAAAAGCACGTGCACGCCCTGCGGCTCGAGTGCGACAACTCCTGGTGTTGGAGCGGCCATCTGCCAGTGCGTGGGCAAGAACCGCGCCTTCCAGGTGTCGGACCAGGCGTGCGTGTGCGCCCCCAACTTCGAGTACATATACGAGGACGGGGTCGACTTGTCGGACGAGGATGGCAGCCAGGACTGCCAGGAACACGTCAGACAGACAGACAAACAGAAAGGAGATTCTTGCGGGCCCTTTTGCTCCACAACGGGCCGTCTCCGTTCTGTTTTCTTCAGATCTTCGAGCGCTGCAGCTCGGTCGCGGGCGAGAAGCGCGACATCCTCGGCAAGTGCGTGGTGCCCGATTGCAGGAAGGAGTGCGGGCCCGCCGGTGGGGATTGGGTCGATTCCGTCGGCCTTTGCTCGTGCACCGTCAGCGAGACAACCGACCAGATATGCGACACCACGTGCCAGAGCCTGCAGCTGACGGCCAATGTCGACTACGCCAGCAGCTTGCTCGTGATAGCCAATGAGAGCGCCGCCGTCAACTGCAGCATCCCCCTCTCCTACCTGACGGGCCGGACCGAAGTGCTGCAGAGCGCCCCAACGTGTTCCGAGCAGGCAATGCAGGCCGGCAACTGCACCATCAGATACCAAGCTGCCAATGGTATGTATCACGACAGTGGCCTGTCTCCTAATGAGTATATTGCACTCATGTTCATTTCTGTGATGTCACTTGCACCTACAGGTCAGTTTGAGGGCAACTTCGGTTTCCCTCCGTCCCTCTTCGCTGAGATTCTGGACCGGCTGTACAGCGCCACCATCGACGACTGCTTCTCAGGCGTGCTGAACACCACCGCCCCCCTCCCAGTCAACATCACAGTCTCCCGCCGCCGACGGCTGCAGGCGACACCGGCGCCCGAGCCCGGAGTGGTCAACCCCGTCACGTGTCTGCAGCTGGGCGAGAGCATGATCTGGTCCCTCACGCCCGATGCCAGCGGGCGGATCGCCTACCCGGTGTACGAGAAGGACGCCCTGCTCAACACCAACCCCGACTTCGACTACGCTGCCTTCAGGTCAGTCAGCCACTCACAAATAAAGGCAACACAGCTGAGTGGATGGGGGAATGGGAATATGCGTGTGTGTGTATGTCTGTCCGCCAGGCGGTTGAGGACAGACATCGTGGCGGGTGTGCAGCGTGCCATGTTCAGCTTCACCTTCGACGAGCCCGGCGTGTACGTCTTCTCACTCAGCACCGACTCGAGCCAGCGCACAGTGATATCGGTCATGGAGTCCGGCCAGACATGCCCCACGCCGCTGCCTCAGACACAGACCACGTCGTCACTCGCCGCCGCCGGTGTCAAGATTGATGTGGAGATCGAGCTCACACCCGACTGGCCGCTGCTTTTCGGCGTCCTCTCTGCCATTGTGGCCCTCGGTAAGTTAGAAGGGTCGTGCTGTGCGTGGGAGAGAGGGGAGACCACTTCCCGGATGTCTGTCTCTGCGTGTGTCGATCCTCAGCGTTGCTGACCATCCCCTGCCTCTGGGTGTTCCGCGTGACGGCATGGACTTTCGAACACGGTCCGCTCGGACCAAACTCCAAATACAGCACGTGAGATGAATGCACCACAGCCATGCTCTTGCAGTGGGTGATGATGTGCTTGTGCCTGTTGTCCAGTGGTGTTGAGGGCAAAATGCTGCGGTGGGTCCGTCGCTACATTGGCGGCGAGCAGGACGGCAAAGACGACGGTGGCCCCCAATCCGCCAGAGCGTTAGCCGACATTGGGCTCGACGTCGGTGAGGACATCGACCCCAGGATATTCCAGGCCGTCTACGACAAGCTCATGGCGTACCACGCCTTCGTGTCCGGCAAATTCGCAGAGCAGTTCGACCTGCAGAAGCAGGAGACACAGCGAGTCCTCAAGGAGGCGGGGCTGATCCGCGACGCACTCCTCTCGAAGCTCGCCGATGCGCTGGACAAGCAGGAGGACGCCGAGGCTGAGGCGCTGCGGCACCGAGGGCGGCTGGAGGACCTCATCAATGACCTCTACAGGAAGAGAGACGCCCTCGTCGAGGCATGGAGGAGCATCCACGGAGAGGCTGCAGAGGTGAGGATGTGAGATGGGAGCCAGAGGGTCACGGGGCGCTTCTCTTATTATTTATCGATGGTGCTTGGCAGATGATCGCACTCGAGATGGAGCATGGCGACCGTCGCGCAAGCAGGCGGGGTAGCGGTGCATCCACCCGGTCCGAAGACATATCCCCCCGGAGCAAGCTGCGCCAAGGTCAGCAGACGGCGATGCAGGCCAAGAGGCAGCACTCGCAGGCCCAGCTGGGCGCCAATGCCGAGGCCCAGTCGGAGGAGGCGCTCAAGGCCCTCATGGCCCAGCTGGCCACGTGCGGCAACGACGCCGAGAGGAAGGCCCTCATTGAGCAGTTCCAGCAGCAGATGCAGAACCTCCAAGTGCAGCTTGACGCCACCAAGAACGAGGAGCTGGAGAATCTCAAGAGAACATATGAAGCCAACGAAGTGAGGATAGGATTGTTGCCCCGTTGAGCCGTCAGAAGGATACGCACTTCATGCATGCTGTGTCCCTTCGTGTGTGCATTCTCAGAACGAGCAGGTTGCCGCTCGGCAGACGCTCGAAGCAGCCCAGGCGAACCACGTGGCGGTCGAAGAGGCCCTGGCGATCGAGAGAGAGGCATTCAATGCAAAACAGGTGAACAAACAACGCCTGTGGCGTAGGTGTCTTCCACCTCTGCTGTCGCATTTCTGTCGTCTTGTCATGTCCAGGATGCTGACCGTGAGGCGTTGGCCGAAGAGGGAGCCGCCGCGCAGAGCAAGATCACGGCTGAGTTTGCCAGCAAGGCCGACCGCGCCTATGCCCAGATCCAGGAGCAGATGCAGCGCGAGCTGGCCAAGGCAGCCACGCCCGCCGAGAGAGCCGAGATCATCAGCCGCAACCAGAAGGCGTATGAGGCCGTTTTGGAGGGGCTGGAGCAGGACCGGCTCTCTCAGGAGCAGGCGCTGCAGGCCAAGCTGGCCAAGCGGCGAGAGGCACTTCGCAAGCGCCAGGCCGATGAGCTGAAAACACTGACGGACAGGCAGAAAATGCAGGCCGACTCTGCGGCGAAGGTATACGTCGCAGAATGCCATGTTTGTCTGCGCACATCTCGTGTGTCTCTGTGGTGTGTATCATTCATCCGTTTGTGCAGGACGTGTCTCAGGCGCGTGAGGCAGAGGAGAAGCTGTCGGCCGGCGAAGAGGTGGAGGCCCTCCAGCAGCAGCTCACAACCGCACAGGACCAAAAGATCAGAGACATGCAAAAGAGGTGCAACGCCGACCAAGCAGGATCACCACCACCCCTGTGCACGAGTGGCTTTGTTTTGTGTGTGTCTCTGTCTCTGTGTGTGTGTCTCTGTGTGTGTGTGTGTGTGTGTGTGTTGTGTCTCAGGTACCAGACTAAGATAGAGCTCAAGAAGACACAGCTGCAGGCAGAGATGGAGCAGAAGCTGCGGGGGGCAAAGGTCAAAAACACACAAACACACACATCGAGACACCATCCATTCGTTCTCTGTGCTCGCTGTCTCTCACGCAGACCAAGGAGGAGCGCCAGACCATCATCCGTGACCACGAGAGGGCCGTCCAGAAGGCTGTCGATCTTCTCGACGAGGAGCGGGCGGCCGCCCAGGCGGCCCTTGAGCGCAAGCTGCAGGACCGGCAGCGACGTCGGCTTGATGCCATCAAGAAGCGGCAGGAGGAGCAGCAGAAGGTGCGGGCCCTCGAGGACACCCATACACAGCAATGGAGGCGGCTCGAGGCACAGCAGGAGAATGAGCGGCTCATCATGGCGCAAGACCTCGCAAACCAACGCGCCAAGGAGGAACATGCGGTCAGAACAGCACACACAGTCGGAACGTCGCTCACAGTGTCCATCCTTGCTTGCCACCAGGTGAAGGACGACACAGCAGCCCTGCTCAACAACCTCATCAGAGACTTCAACGCCAAGCGAGCGGTTCGGGCACCCCTTTCGCCGCACAGAAGACCCGAAAAATGCATCGCCCTTTCTGTGTGTTTGTCAGGACGTCATGAAGATCGAGGACCCCAAGGAGCGCCAGGCGGCCGAAGCCGAGCTCAACGCGTGGATGCAGCAGCAGAGGGAGAGTATACTGAAGGACGATGCCTACCGCCTAGAAGAGCTCGCAGATCGGATGAAACGCGCCGAATCAGAAGACTGGGCACAGCTCAAGGAGAAGCACGCCGACCAGAGCCAGCAGCTGCAGCAGCAGCAAAAGAAAGAAGTCGAGACAGCCAGGGCGCAACTCAACAAGTGAGACAACAGAAGGCCACCAGCCAGTTGATCGGTGGATGATGGTCACTTGCGTGGCGTGTTAGGGCGATGGACGAGGAGGCACGTGTGACGGAGGCTGCCGAGGAGACAGGCCTTGAGGAGGAGCTGGAGGGCGAAGAGTCGGAGGCCAAGGAAGGGCTGCAGAGAGACATGCTCCAGACCAAGAACGAAATGCTCGAGAAGGAGAGACTCAAGATGCAGGCCGCACTCGATGAGGTACGTGCACATGCCTTAGCTACAGGACACGCATATGTCTCTCCTCCGCATCCACGTGTCTTGTTTGCAGCTGGGCGACGCCACTGACCCCGAGACAGAGATGCACCGGCAGCAGATCATGGACCAGTACGAGCGGAACGTCGCACATCTCGAGGACATGCTGGACCAGGAGAGGGACAAACAGCAGGCCGAGCTCGACAAACGGCTGCAGCAGAGGAAGGCAGAGCGGCTCGAGAAAGCCAAGATGGCGAGACAGCAGTCAGCGCAGCTCCGAAACTTGGAAAAACAGCAGGTACAATTAATTCCACACATTCTTTCTGACCGCCCCTTTCCAACACGGTGCGTTGTCTGCCTCTCAGGGCCACGACGCGCAGCTGTTGATCCTGCAGCAAGCCGCCGAGAAGCTGATGGAGAATGCCGCAGCAGCCGAAGACGCGCGAGAGGACGTCGAGGAGTTCCGGTCTCGTCAGCGGTCGGCCATCCGCGCAGCGCGCACCAAGATGATGGATGTGGCGTTAGATCCGTCCAAGAATGCTGAGGACAAGGAGACGCTGCTGGCCCGGCTGGAGGTCAACGAAGCCCGCGTGGTCGAGGGGCTCAATGCTGAGCGCACGTCGCAGGAGCAGAGCCTCAAGGAGAAGATCGCAGCCAGGAGGGCACGGCTCGCAGCCAAACAGGTGAAAGAAAGCCGTATTGCACTCTCATAAATACACACCACACCCGTGCCGTGTGTCTCCGGCTACTGTTGGCTGTTTGTCTCTCTCTCAGGGTGAGGAGGCGTCAAAGCAGCAGGAGGAGCACGAGGCGGCTGCCAAGCAGATCCAGGAGGAGGGTGAAGTCGCCCTCGGACAACAAGTGGGCGTCACCGATGCTGCCCTCTCTATCGCAAGGGCTATGGCCAGTGCGACCAAGGAGGAAATGGCCGCCAAACACACTGAGGAGCTCGCCAACCTCCAGAGGCAGCAGGAGCAAGCCTTGCAAGAGCTCAAGGCACAGATGCAGGTCAGTCAGCAAGCCCGTCTGCCTGCCTGCCTGCCTGCCTGCCTCACCACTCTGTGTCCACCATGGATCCACTTTGAATTCATTTGTTCATCCTTCGTCAGCGTGAGTTGGCCGAGGCCAAGGAGCTGCTGAAGCGCGAGATGGGCGACGAGCAGCAGATCAAGACGGTCAGGCTCGAGGAGGAGAAGCAGAAGCTGCGCGAAGAGGCCGAAAGGGAAACCGCAAAGGCCAACACAAAAGAGGAAAAAGAAAACATCCTCAAAGGTATACTATACCAGACCGGCCGGTCCACCTGCATACTCCTTGCTTTATCCCCTCACTCTCTCTCTGGTTCCCTGCACCGACAGATTTTCAGTCTCGCATGGCCAGGATCGACACTGCCATTCAGGAGGAGGCGCAGAAGCAGGATGTGGCTCTCGAGGCACGACTGGCCGCCAGAAAGAAGCGCCTCGCGGCGAAGGAGGCTGCCCTCAAAGAGGACAATGAGAAGCAGCTCGAGGCACAGAAACTGCAACAGCTCAGGAAACAAATGGAGGCGCAGAGTGCGGTAGGTATCTAAGCCATCACAATCCACACCATCAGTCTGGACAATCCACTTGCAGGCGGAGCGTCAAGCCGAGAGTGAGAGTCTGCGGCAGCTGGCGCACACCCGCCTGGGTGACGACACGACGCCGCCCACCGAGATGGTCAAGCAGGTCTTGTCTCAGCGTCACGAGAGGGAGATCAACGACCTCATGGCCTTCCACTTCCGCGAGAAGGCTCACAAGCTCAAATTTGCACTCGACGACATCAACAAGGAGCGCGAAAAGGCAATAGCGTAAGTGACTGTTGGATGGACAGGCGAAACAAAGAAACCATCACGCCACACGCCACACGGTACATACAGCGTTTTCCTCCTCCTTGGTCAGTGAGATTTGGGCGCGTTACCCCAAGTCGTACACACACGAGACGCCGGATGTGGTCCGCAAGCGGCAGAAGGAGATCGACGACTACGACAAGGAACACAAGACAAGGATCGAGGCACACATCAAGGACGCCACCAGACAGGTGGGCGGGACGACAGTCAATGGCTGGGGGGCATGGGGTATCACACTGTCTCCGGCTGTGGTGTTGTTGTGTGTGTATCATTGGTTTGTCAGATTGACGAGGCTCAAGAAGTGGAGATGCTGGCCTTGAAGGAGCGCCATTTGCAGGAACTCACAGACGCGTTTGCAGAGCTGTCGACGATCGAGACATTCGTCAAGGCCCACGAAGAGGTCGGCCCCACGCACACATAACGCAAATCAAGACGCACACCATTGCAGTCCGCCTGCTTGCCTGTCTGTGCGGCGTGGCGTGGCGTGGCGTGTGCAGGGTGACATAGTTGACCGCGCCAAGCTGGATGTCTTTAAGAAGAAGAAAGAGGAGGAGATTCAGCAGCGCCTCAAGGAGCTCGAGGAGGAGTGGGCCAGGAAGGAAGCTGAAGAGAAGGCCAAACTGGTACATACTTACATGTCTCCCTCCTGCTCACACATGAGAGGCATGCCACTTGGTTGATCCACACACGTGTCCTTTCATCGTCGTAGAACGACGAGCTGGCGGCTTTGGAGCGCAAGATAGAGGACCAGGCGCAGCGGGACCGTGAGGCGGCTGAGCAGCGCGCCAACAAACTCAAGAACAAGGTGCTGTCTGAGCGGGAGGAGCTGCAGAAGAAGAAGATGCAGGCGCAGCTGCAGCAGACGCCCGGTGCGGACGACCAGATGAAGGCCGAGGTCATGAAGCAGTACGAGGAGGACCAGCAGCGGCTCATCACGGCCCTCGACACCGAGCGGGAGCGCCAGAAGGCCATTTTCGAGGAGCGACTGGAGGAGAAGAAGCGCGCCCAGAAGGAGCGGCAGATGAAGAAGGCCGAGGAGGAGCAGAAGCGCTTCAAGGAGCAGCAGACCAAGATCATCGAGAAACAAAAGAAGATCCTCGAGAAGCAGCGGGAACAGGAGATGAAGAAGAAGGAAGCCGAGCTCAGAAGACAGAGCATCATCGCAAGGTAGGTCGGTGGTGGGGGACGTGTCTCCCCTTTTGCCGGATGGGATGCCCCCACGGCCTGTGTGTGCCTTTGTTTGTTTCTTGCCTGCCTGGCTGCACTGCAGGGGTGGGGAGTATGAGGGCCCGCATCCGCTGTGGGATGAGATCCTCAACGAGGAGGAGACGGCCGGCACGCTCAGGGTCGGCCCAGAAGAGGCAGAACCAGCTCAAGGTACTCAACCTGGCCAGAGCCATGACACGCACCCCCTGTGTCCACACGCATGTGTCTCTGTCTGGCTATAATTCAGGCGGCCCATTTGTGAGCAAGATGCTGGAGGTGGAGCGTCTCTTGCGTGAGGAGGGGGCCTTCCTCAGAGACCTGCTGCGGAGCCTCAAGAAGCTCTCGGTCGTGCTGCATGACCTCGACGGCTTCCCCAGCACTGCCAGCGTTCCGGCCGTCCCGACCAGACCCCCTCCCCCTCCCGCAGGTGCTGCTTCCGGTGTGATGGCCGCGGAACTGCAGCAGTCCGCCAACTCGGGATGAGCTGAGGCTGGATGGAGCTCATTTGTTGATAACGTGTTGACCGATGCCGCC